CCCCTCCCCCATCCACCAAACCGGCACAACCATAACCCCCACCAACCCCGCCAAACTCCCCGTCATGACCGCCCACCCCGCCCGCCACGCCACGAACCCCCCCCACAAGGGCCCCAAAAACAGACCCAGGAACTGCGCCATCGTCTGGATACCGAACGCCTGGGCGACGGCGCCCTTGCGGCCGAAGACGGTGGGGTCGCGCGCTTCCATCGCAGCCAAGGCGGACTGCGTCTCGAGGTACAGCGCCGGCGTGCACAGGTTGATGAGGCAGCCGATGGCCGTGAGGCAGGTGAGGAGGAGGGCGATGTGGGTTGGTTGGGCGGTGGTGACGAGGCGGAGAGCGAGGAGGGGAATGGGGAGGAGGGCGAAGGAGGTGAGTGCGATGGGCCGGGGGCCGTGGGTGTCTGTTAGATGGCCTTTTTTTTTTCCCCGAGAGTTAGTAGGCTACTTGGGGGTTAGGGGGTTAGGGGGTAAATGGTAGGGATAAGGATAGGGATAGGGATAGGGATTGGGATTGGGGCATGGGGCTTTGGGGGCTTACCGAAGTAGGGTTGGAAGAGGGCGGTGATGGCGGAGGGGAGGAAGGCCAGCCCCGCGCCGAAGGTGGTCCAGCCGAAGCGCGATTCGACGAAGATGGGGATTGTCTGTCATTTAGTCAGGAAAATGTGTGGGTTGTTGGGTGTCGTTAGGTTAGGTTAGGTTAGATTAGGGAGGATCGCAGGGACTGGGAAAGACAGCTTACAGCGTCAAAGGCGGAGTAGAGGAGGCCGTGGATGAGGAGAGCTCCGGAGGAGATGAGGATTCGTGGTTCGCGGATGATTAGGAGTATCGCTGGCTTCTTGTGTGGGTCGTTGCTGGACGTCGCGGAAGATGATGAAGAGGGGCGTCTGGTTGGCGACGCGGTTGGTGGCTGCTGCTGCTGCTGCTGCTGCTGCTGCTGCTGCTGTTGCACCAGACTGTCGCTTGACGTACACCCATCCTCTCCTCGGGACGGCGAGCAGGATGATGGATGCGTCTGCATCCACCATTCGGCGACGGCTTTCTCGACCACCGCGACTCGCATGAGCAGATCGATCCCCACCATGGCAAAGGCAATGGCGAACACAGCCTGGTACCCGGCAACTCGATAGACCAGACCGCCAAGCAGCGGACCCAGCAGAAACCCCAGGGCGATCGCCGAGCCCAGGTACCCGATGGTTTGGCCGAGATTGCTCGTTGAGACCGAGTCCGTGAGCAGGGCGAGCCCGGCCACGGCGACCATGGCGGTGGCCGCGCCCTGCAGCATGCGGGCCACGATGAACACTGCGATCGTGTGCGCGAGAGCGAGGAGGACCATCGATGCCCCGAGGAAGATCAGGCCCAGGAGGTAGGGCATCCGGCGCGTGGGTGCCGCATCGAGCATGTACCCGAACGCTGGGCAGCAGACGAAGGCGACGGCGGCTTCGCACATCAACAGGATGCTCACCCAGAATTCTCCTGGGCCACGGTTCCGCGAATTAGCGTTGGACAGACATAGCGGATCAGAGCATCGAATCGGAAGGTCGACTTACGGTCTTCATATGCGACGCCGGCGCGGTCGACGAGGGCAGTGGGCATAACAGGCACGATCTTTGCAGCTGGTCAGAGTCGATGGCAGAGCACGTCCCCTTTCATTGGTGACTTACCATCGCATAGAGAAAGTAGTCCTAGATCACATCAGCCATTTGCTCCAAGAACAAAGAACATAAGGGTACCCACCGTGAAGAACGATATCCAGGCCGTCGCGATGATGAACCCCGTCGACGACCGCCATCGCAACAGTCTGGGCGGACGATAGCTCATGGCTTTCGCATGAGAAGTCCACAATCTACTTTACCCAAGGTTACTACGAAGTCAATCGCTAGCTATACTTGAGTAGAATTTGTGGTTCTTGGCGAAGAGAGAAGCGTTGCAGCCCATTGCTTGAAGCGGTGGCTAAGCTGTGGCTGATTACATTTTGACAGGCTCTAAAAATTGTCTTTTTTTTTTTTTGGTTGGCGGGCGGATTCTCTATTTCCCCCAGAGAGCATTCAACAATGACGAGGAGAACCCGAGTTGGCCACTCCTCCGTCGTCGTCGCAAGAGAACAAGCAAAGATTTCCGCACATATACATACATATACATGACAAAGTCAATGATGAAGCTTCCGAAGTCGTACTCCTTTCACCAATGTTCAAGGACAGATCTGACGTCTACTCAGACTGTCAGACTGAGGGCAACAGCCGAATGTCCATGCCGAAGAGAACAATAGAACGAGAGTAAGCAGGCCAGTCAACCAGAAACCGTGATCTGATCCCGGAGAACAACTATTCTGTTGGGGATCTCCGTCCTCCGCTTTGACTGACTGAAAAGCATACGCATGCATGTTGGGAGGGATATGGCCTGACCAGGCGCATAATAAGCTTGATGCTGTCTGATATTCTGATTTACCGCTATTATTATTGAGCTACAGCTTACAGGCAAGCCGGATCAAATCCCGATAAGATAAGAGAGAGGGGACCCAAAAAGTGCGGAGGCCGTCGACCTGGCGCGGGTTTCGGAGGTGGCCGATAAGGACCTCCCCATCCTCTTTCCTCCCTCCCCTTCGCCCCAAGGGCGAGTCAAAGCTGCGCCAACTTAAAGACGCTTTTGATCCCCGGTTGTACGATCGTTTTTCTGTGTACCTGCATACCCTGCACATTTGCTCTTGCAATCGGACATTTTCCTCTACCTCCCTGTTTCCTTCAAACATGTCTTCCCCCATCACTGCGGCCCGCTACGGCAAGGACAATGTCCGAGTATACAAGGTCCACCGGGACGAGAAGACGGGCGTCCAGACTGTCGTCGAGATGACCGTCTGTGTTCTCCTGGAGGGAGAAATTGACACCTCGTATGTTTTTTTTTTTTTTTTTTTGTTCTGTTTCCTCCCTGCTTGTGTTCCCTCTCCACTCGCACCCCTCCACTCTTCCCTATCCATTCAACGCAACCGGCTAACCATGTCTTATCAATGATACAGTTACACCAAAGCCGACAACAGCGTCGTCGTCGCCACGGACTCCATCAAGAACACGATCTACATTCTCGCGAAGCAGAACCCCGTGACGCCGCCGGAGCTCTTTGGCTCGATTTTGGGGAACCACTTCGTGACCACGTACCCGCACATCCACGCGGCGCACACCTCGATCGTCACGCACCGGTGGACGCGCATGACCATCAATGGCAAGCCGCACCCGCACAGCTTCCTGCGCGACGGCGAGGAGACGCGCAACGTGCAGGTGGACGTGGTCGAGAATGCCCAGGGAATCAACATCGACATCCGCTCCGCGCTGGCCAAGCTGACCGTGCTCAAGAGCACCAACTCGCAGTTCTGGGGGTTCGTGCGCGACGAGTACACCACGCTCCCGGAGACCTGGGACCGCATCCTCAGCACCGACGTCGACGCCACCTGGCAGTGGCAGCGGTTCGCGGGGCTCGAGGCCGTCCGCGCCGCCGTGCCCCGCTTCGATGCCACCTGGGCCGCCGCCCGCGAGATCACCCTCAAGACCTTCGCCGAGGACAACTCGGCCAGTGTTCAGAACACCATGTACAAGATGGCCGAGCAGATCCTTGAGCGCCAGCCCCTGCTCGAGACGGTCGAGTATGCCCTGCCCAACAAGCATTACTTTGAGATTGGTAAGTTTTCTTGTTCCCTTTCTTTTTTTTTGTTTTTTTTTATCGAAGCGGTAGGCTGACGACTGAATGAATAGATCTGAGCTGGCACAAGGGCCTCAAGAACACCGGCAAGGATGCCGAGGTGTATGCACCCCAGAGTGGACCCAATGGTCTCATCAAGTGCACGGTTGGTCGCAAGTCCAAGGCCAAGTTGTAGTGCAGTGTAATTCTTTGGTCTTGCTATTGCTATTGTCGTTTTTTTTTTTTTCCCAGCGCTTACTTGGAAGTTGTTTCCGGCTCAAAGACACCCCGAATTTTTGTTTTGTATATAGTTTCTTCGTTGGGATAGGGGGTATAACATTTCACTGGATTGATCGGTTATGATACAGCACAAGCCTATTTTCTCGCTCGCTTCCCCAGTAAACTGGTACAGGCGCACCTTGGAGTAAGTAGGTGTGTAGATCGACAGCATATGTGGATAAACTTTCCCAAGACATATCAAATCAGATGAATGTATAGATTAGGGACCGGAAACAGAGAAAGAAATGGAAAACATTGAAAAACTCCCACCCATGCGCTAGCAAGTATTCGTGACGGCAACAAGGAAAGAATATAAAAGTACAGGGAAAAGAATACACCAGTCGGTTTTTGGTATCCGCGAAGAAGAAGGAGAGGAAACAGTCAAGGCACTTAGGTATATACCGCGGATGATAAAGCCGAATCTCAACCACCTGGCAACATGGTACCTGGACTTGGAGTTTCTTATGCCGACGTCTCCGCCACCTTGGCCGCCTGGAACGCCTGCTGCACCTCGGGGAGCGTTCCAATGGCCGACTCCACCGGAGCCTGAGCCAGAGCACCGGTCCCACCGATCTTGATGATATTCTGCTCGTAGGGGTGCTTGAGACCTTCAAAAGCTGTACGAAAGGAATATCAGTAAGATGCCTTTCATGCGTTCCCGTAGCAATTTCCATGCCCCGTAGACAAGACTACTCACTCTTCAACCGCGCCAATCGCTTATCCCGCAGGCGGTTCTTGGGCAGCATGCCGCGGACGGCGCGGCGCAGGACCTCGCCGCCGCCCCATTTCTCGAACATCATGTCCATGGTCATACTCTTCAGGCTACCGGGCCGGGTGGTGTGGGTGTAGTACTTCTTCTGCTGGCGCTTCTTGCCGGTGGTGCGGAGGTCGTGGCAGCCGACGGCGACGACGTAGTCGCCGCAGTCGGTGGAGGGATCGTAGATGGGCTTGTTCTTGCCCATGAGCACGAGGGCGATGGAGGAGGCCAGCCGGCCGAGGGTGCGGCCGTCACTGCCCACGTCGACGTGGTGCCATGCGCGCGAGTAGGCGAGACGGGTCTGTTTTTATATTCGATGGAAAAGTCAGTTGAGGGCAGCAACAACCACCAAGCTAGAGAAGAGGAAGAAGGGATTGGTGAACCAAATGAAAAGAGCGAGGTACCTTTCCAATAATTTGCGACATCTTGGTATCTTGATACAAACAACAACAACAACGAACGACGAACCAATGATGCAGAATATCTCAACGCAACAAAGCTCACACCTCACTATCTTTGCACTGCAGGTCCAAGTTCCTCCAGGGCCGGCCAGCCGGCCAACCGGACAAACCGACCCTCCGAGAACCCCCCCCAAAACCACGTGACCATTCGTCGAGCCCTACCCGCTCTAGCCCAAAGCGGGTCTAGCGCACCGCACTAAGCGAAATCGTCCGCACGGTGCGTGGGTGCCAGCCCGCCCGAACTGCCACAAGCCCGCCCTGGGAAGAAAATTAATACGCGAAGGAAAAACGACGGACGACAAATCGACGAAACGACCGCAGCACCCTCTCTCCTCCCACCCGACGTACTTCTCACCCACCCCCCAGCAACACAGGGCCATTCAGACATCATGGCTTCCGTCCCGAGTGTGCAATGCTTCGGCAAGAAGAAGACGGGTGAGTTTTTTTTTTGGTTTATCTTGGTGATTGGACATGGGAAAAAGGAAAGATGGAGTCGCGAATATCGGAGGAAGAAAGGGGTGGAGGAGGGACAAGGCGCGAATGTTATATCGGTATTAGGATACAATGGAACTGACCTTTGAAACTCTATAGCCACCGCTGTCGCCCACTGCAAGGTATGCAAAACACAACACTCCCAAAATCTTCTACACTACAACATCCGGTGTCGTTCGTTCGCGGGTTCCGAATCGAAGAGTCGGTAAAGGATCTGGAGGGGGAAAGTGAGGACGAAATTGGAAAGGGATGAGCTGGGAAGTGGAAAACATCGACTTGAAGAGGAGGGATTATGCGACTACATCGGAAATATTCAACACGGAAAGGATGCGGAGGAAATGAAGTCAACAACCCGAACGGACGCACGCACGAACGAACGAACGACACCATCTTCCTTCCACCCGACAATTCCGGCCAAATCGCATATGACGGAAAGAAACATGGAGACTGACAATCGCAACAGCAAGGCAAGGGTCTCATCAAGGTCAACGGCCAGCCCCTCTCTCTGGTCCAGCCTGAGATCCTCCGCTTCAAGGTACATATCCACACCTTTTAACTTTACACAAAAACCGATCCCTCTCCGATCCAACCCAAACCCACCACCTCGAAAAAAAAAAAGGAAGCATTGATTGACTCGAACTCAACCTCCGCCAAAAAATAGGTCTACGAGCCCCTCCTGATCGTCGGTGCCGACAAGTTCGCCGGTGTCGACATCCGCGTCCGCGTCACCGGTGGTGGTCACACCTCCCAGGTCTACGCCATCCGCCAGGCCATCGCCAAGTCCATTGTCGCCTACTACCAGAAGTACGTCGACGAGCACTCCAAGAACCAGCTCAAGCAGGCTCTTGTCCAGTACGACCGCACACTCCTCGTCGCCGACAACCGTCGCACGGAGCCCAAGAAGTTCGGTGGTCGCGGTGCTCGTTCCCGCTACCAGAAGTCCTACCGTTAAAACGGCTCTCAATCCTTCGGTATCCCTCTTATCCCTGTGGTTATTCACTTTTCTCCGCTCGCTGGGCTGCTTCTTTTCTTGTCACGAATTCCAGGAAGAAGTTGGCTGGGTTGATGAGAAGTGTTTTTCAAAAAAAAGTTTTTTTCTGCCGCCCCTCCCCACCTGATTTCATTCGGGAATGGCGGGCTGGTAGACGGGTAAAAAGGATACGCAGAATGGTGTCGTCTTAACGGTTTGTACTCTGGGGTGGAGAGAGATCTGGTGCGGTGTGGTCCCATTTCCGTCATTGGACAATTCGATCATAGAGGAAGGTCTGAGTTGTCACAGTGGTTGTATGGATTGATACGGTGCAATGCTGGTCTGAAATTAGTATAGGCCAGGATTATCTGAAATATCACCCGATTTCTTTTTTTGTCTATCTGTTTCTCAGCCTAAAAGTGGAATAAACTTTAGCTTCTGTTCAAACATATCTAATGATCACCTGCCCACACGGGAGCCCAAGCTGGTGGATATTCTGACTATCAATATGCTATCTTAAAAGGAAACCACGACCCACACACAAGGTTGAAGAGCTCTTCTGACATGGACGCCCCTTCCATTCCATTTCCATGTAAACCTTCCCGCCTCACAACCCACGCGGGCACCAGTTGACCCCGTTCTGATTCGCGCAAACACTGCATTGATGCCATGTCCCCGTAGACCCGCATGCCCTTGGCATCAACTCCAGTTCAGCTGTATCGAATCAGATGCATCAGATTGTTCGATGCAATAGACTGCCGATGACATCGTATGGAAGAAGTTTAGCCAACGTAGGCAAGGGAAGGCCGAGATGTGCTCTAAGGGACATAAGCAGAAACGCTGTTGTCTGTCCAGCGGAGGTTGCCGTTAAGGTGACCGCTCATTCCACCATGGCCGTCGTAACCTTCGCTCTCATCGTCATCAGCCCCATCAAGGGACAAGATATGGAAACGGTTGAGAACTGAGGTGGATTTCCCGACTGAAGCATCTTGCAATCCGTGTCTCGGCCCGACGGGTACCTTACCCTGCGATCTCGCACACTCGTCTGGATAGAACCCGATTCTCGTACCTTTGTATGTAAATCGGGACATCATGCAGGATCGCGCAAACAAGGCATTGTGGACGGAGTTGGTGGATATGTAGGCATTGCCATTGTTGAATTTAACCGAGATTACGATTAGGTTGTGGATATGCTCCAGATCTTTCCGGATGACCCACTCTGTGACGTTCGGATGCACGCTGTAGAGAACTAGGTTCCTCGAGGCTCCATTGTAGATCTTGTTTCTGACATAGGGAGGAACGTAGAATTGCCGGTCATTCCAGTTTGTTTCAACCTAGCAAGATAGATGAGTCTCAGCGGAGGTGAGTCTTCGACCAACAGAGTTGCACTTACGCGCTTCCCCGCCACAGAAAGACCATAAGTGTTGCTATGCTGCAGGAAGGAGCGGGCCGCAGCCTTTTCCACAAATGACACACTTGCAATCCGCTCACGAGCCCTCAGGTAGACATGAACAAGGGCACCGCTCTCCACAGCGTCGACCACGTCTTTGTAAGTGACGCGGTCTGGCAGGTTGCGGATCATCACAGTGCGTTGATCAGTAGGGATAGCCGCAGATTCCTCGCTCCTGGATGGATCATCGTGGTCCTCTGCTTTTCCGTCGCTGGTGGGCGAGTCGACCGAGGTGGCAGCATCGTGGTCATCTTCAGATGCAGCACCTAGATCGGAGCTCTCATCTGAGCTTCTGCGACGAGGAACGACAGCACGTTTGGTATGCCCTCGCTGTGGGGACGCGGTATCTGCAGTGCGACCTCCAGTAGCTGGAGGAGTCGAGGTAGGGCCATAGATCAAGATCTGCACGAAATCAGTACGTGAAAGCGCAGACCTGCATGCGGACGTTTCTCACATCGAGAGTCTCCTGTGACAGGCCCCCTTCGAGCAGCGAGTTTTTCAATCTGGCTGTGTTATTCGAGGTTAGAACAGAATTGCGCGACCACAGGACACCAGCAAGCAACGTACCGAACTGCTGAGACGATTGGAGCTGTGACCGACAGCAATGGCTTGTTAGTCGGCGATGCTGAGTTTGTTCGGCGCATTGCTTACCAGGCGTTTGTATTCGAGTTCGGAAATGGTCACGGAATTTGAATTGGACGATAGGCTTCGGAGTGCTTGGAACTATACAACAGCGTTCAGTCACTCGGCCAATGAAGCGATATCCTTCCTGTACACACAGCATCAAATCTAGCGAGGCATAAGCTATGTGCATTTAGTTCTGGACCATTGACGGAGAAGCAGCGCACCTTCCAGTAGGAGACTCAGAATCCATTTTATTATGAGAAGAAACAAATGCCGACATCGTGGCTAATAGGGACGCCTGTGTGGTGGGTGTGTTGCGTGCTGCGTTAGTCGAGACCAGCGATCAAATGACATGACGGTAGTGTAGGGATAGAAGGAAGAATACAGAAAGGTGACTTACTCAAGAACAAAAGGAGAATGCTGGAGAAGCTATGAAAGGAGTGAGAGAGGGAAATGAAGATAGAGTGAAGGAGGGGAAGCAAACCGAAGAGAAGCCACTTCACATGGGTTGGTGGTCTCAATTGCGCAGGCGCAATCGACCGGCTTTTCGAGCCCACGCGGTTTCCATTCACCTCTTCTATCTATACCTAGTGTAAGAGGACCAGGTAGAAGTCGATCTAGATTGGCTCAAATCGCATGCTCTATCAAGTTTCCTTCTATTTGTGACATCGGAAGCAATAACCTCAGAGTCAAAGGTAACGGATCCATTGACTAGGAGGGTGATGAGGGGGAAGTATCGTCGTTTGTCGTCGACATCGAATCTCCCAACACCCAGCGCTTGTGTGATCAATGGCTTCCGGATGCCCCTTTCAAGCGGCAAATCGTGGCTGCGCCATCTTAGACAGGTCAGAACTACGATACGATGCCTTGGGATCAAGGATCCCTAAGGTGACCGGGGTATCCTGCTACGACCGTCGACGTAAGGTGCAACTGATTTACTTTGCTGCTCTAGTCAACGCTTCGCGTGTCTCGGTCCGAATGGAATTGATGCATGCATGTGCGTACAATACAAGAATCATATTTGAACTAAGTTCGTAGAATGGGTATCATTTTCATATCCACTACCCTTCGCATAAATTGTGTAGTATCGGAAATACGTTCTGTCATTCTGTCATCACGCTTCACTACATACCACGAGATCACGCACCGCTGCTGCTATAAGACTGGCATTGGGATGATCATATCTCAGGATCGGTCAAAGCACCGGGCTTCAGATTCCGGCGCCTTGCTGGTAGCAGATGCATAACCGAAACCACTTTCATGTTCGCTCGGGACCATGCCTTGGAATAGTGTTCCTGCTTGGTGATTTGGTGATTTTCTGCTTCGAAGGCATCAATCTGAGATATTAAAGCGATCACCTGCTTCGCTCAAACCACATTAGTGGCTTACTGCCGTTAGTCCTTCATCCAATCTCGCCGGGGGCGATATCGACATCAATCCCCCCTGGCTCATCTTCTCGTTCAGCTGGTATCTCAGCTCCTACAGCTCCTAGGTTCGTGTCTCGTCTACCCCCTGCTGCACCCCGTTGTCTTGCGCGCCTGATTTGGATGATGTTGACGGTAATCTGGGTCACAAATATCGCCAGAAATATGCCCAATACCAAGGTCTGCGGGATGTACATCTCCGAGTCCCGACTTTGTTCCGGCTCCTGGCGAGAATTCTCGGATGCACGAGTATTTCCGAAGGAAATGGAGACCGACATGGTAAACGGTGTGAACGACGTGAAGACCGCCGTCGAGGGCGATAAGAATGATAGACCAGGACCCAGAAACAGTGGCACAAGGGAGAAGATGAGCAGAGGGACGGCTAGTCATAAGGCAGAAGAGAAAGACGGGCGAGAACCGGCCAGCCTGATTAGTAGACCATTGTGAGTGACATAGAACAATATTCAGGTTTAGATGGCAAGCGCCTCCACCTACCATTCTCGAGACCTCGACTTTTTGACCCATCGTGCAACAATCTTCAAACGGTCTCTGACACTAGTCGTTGCTAATAACGAATACTTATCGTCTTCCCACAAAGGATAGACGCTAGCAAGCCACCATGGGAACAGAGCGGGATCAGTGGGTGCATCACCGTAGGCCATCAGGACACGAGGATGAAGCCAAGCGACTCCCTTACGACGTTGTTCGTCAATGAAGTCTATAGCCAATTGGAATAGCTGCAGGGTCGGCAGGACTTCTATAGGGGTATCTGCAGGATCAGCACTTGCCGCTGGCGGCGCTTCCATTGTGACTGATGTTTCCAATGACTCAATTCGCTCTTCTTCAGTGATTGGCACATCTTCCACACGTTGTACCCTGCCAACATGATAGCCATCAACCACTTCCGAGCTGCTTACCTTGAATCGGGAGACACCAGTGGCAATAACCAGGCTTCTACCGTCTGGGAGAAGCTCATAGCGATCAACCATCAAGACTGTACCATACTGCATAAACTCAGACCGCCCCAATCCCGGCTGAGGCCGACTGCCGCGGTTGTACATGACCATGCCGAATTTCTTGCCCCTCGTCTCCATAACCCTGCGCATCATTATGCGATATCGAGGCTCAAAGATATGCAGGAAGGTTGGCATGGTCGGGAAAGACAGCGAGTTCACAAACAGGGGAAGCGTTTGTTCATCGTCCGCGGCGGCCGCGTCATCAACATCGGAAGTGTTATCTTTCCGCATCTCCAACTGCTCGGGGAATAGCGCCTCCAGGATAGCCGAGATCCTCAGGTTGCTGGGCTTTCTTCGGGAAGTTAAGGACAAGTTCAGCTTCCGGCGACAGACAGGGCAGAGATCACTGTGGTCCATCACCATAGTGACGCAGTCGCGACAGAACGTGTGGCCACATGGCGTAGTCAACGGATCCAGTATAAGCGAGTAGCACACCTGACAGTCCAACTCATTCCTGACCGCATTCTTGAGCTTTGTATATGAACGCTGGGTGGAGCTGTCAGCAGCAAGGTCCCCGACCGAATAGTGTACCTCCGACGCATCATAATCGAACCGGCCCTCTTTGACGAGACAGTAGACTCCCTTCAGCAAATCCGTCCCAATACTTTCACACTGTGTGGTCACTTCTGGTTCACCTCGGGAAGTTTTCCACGTAACTGTAGACGCGCCTTCGCTTGAACCATCTCCGCGGTCGACCGCAAGAACCTCCTCGAAAACATCGGCCAGTCGACTCAGTAAGACATCCACTCCACAGTCACCCAGGCAGTGCTCTCCGGAACACGCATCTGCCTTCCCCCAGTAGCATAAGAATCCATGCTTCCGCTCCTCGTTCGCGGGATATGTGATACCCGTACGTTGATAAATCGGCGGGAGACATGACCGGCAGATTGAATTTCCGCATGGCAGCCGCAGCGGCGAGCGAAGGATCTGAGAGCAGCGTGCGCATTGTATGCTTTGGATCACCGCATGAGGCACAACAGAAGATACGGCGGTCTCGCTCGCGGTTGCTGGTGACGGCTCGGGTCCCAGCGCATGTGACACTGCGCTGCTTATGCCGCGGGAGTGATCATCGTCAGATCCGGAAGTGGTGGCGTGCAGAGGTGCCGACGCAGCGTCGGGATCTTCCATCGGAAATTGCAGTAGGAGAATGGGCTGTGAAAGCGACGGTAGTTTCCAGTGTGTGATAGATGTAATAGTTTGCTTTAAGTCCAGCAAGAGCGACGGCAGAGGTTGAGGTCTCGAAGTAGTGAATGATTGTTTTGTTCCAGGTGGGCGGAGAGCCGCGGGAATTAAGTTGGGTTAGCTCCCCGCAGTCCAATCGAGGGGGAAGCTGGCCTAGAGGAAGCCACGCACTTCCCAAACAGCTGTATTTACCACCAAAACTCCTACACAACACTTTTCTTACCCAAGCACCAATATTCTTTAGAAAGGCTATACGATATAAAGTGGGTACTTGCTCCTATATTAAAATATATCACTAATACTTTTTTTAGTGAAATAAATAAGTAAAAATTTTCACAGTTCCGGACAAATAAGTATCCGAGACCTTTCACAGCACGTGTACAAGCAAGCAATTACTAGTATATATATAATTTAATAGACAAGGCTTTATAAAGTGTTTTCTACAGAAAATCAGATATTTATGTAGTTCTTATATATATATTATAACCTATCTAAGAAGTTTTGTAGTAGAATACAACGAAATGAGATATATTGAGACTATATTAAGCCAGCAGCCGTTTGGGAAGTGCTTCGCGTTCAGGAAGTGCGTGGCTCCCTCTAACCTCTCCATCCTGTTCTTTCTAGGACATTCTCGTCTCCAAATAGAGTAAAATAGTACTTTCAAAATTGATTTTCTACATCTATAATCAGACTTTGAGTCTGTGCATCCGAGAGAACACAGAGAACACCAAGTAGTTATCTACGGGCATCAACGCTCGTGCTTGATGTATATACAGTACATACAGATGCCAGAGAAAGGAAAGAACATTCATCGTGAGCCATAAGTTGAGCAGTGATATGACAAGAGTGCTCCCCAAGCCCATTACTAACAGATTGAGTCATTGACGACGCAGAGGTTCGAAATGCGCCAACTTATTTATGGAGAGGGGAAAAAGCAAAGTAACTACCGGGGTAATCAGGGTAGAAAAGAGCAAAAATAAAATGCTAGCATCCTTTCATTGCTCATGACTGAACCGTCCAACGCCGAGGCCAAAGCGATATGAGGAGACTGGAAGATGGGAAAACTGCCGAGTGCATGAAGGTCAGAGCAGACCTGAGGATTGCGCATAGCTGTTCCGATCCGCCTGGCGAGGTCGAACCGTGCAATCGAGGGCGCAATTTCGTATCACGCCGACGGAAACTCGTCACCCAGAAACTTGAGATGAGGTACTATCTGAGTCGGTATCTGAATCGTCTTCGGTAACGATGCGCCGCAGAACACTTTTATCGAACAGATCGAGTGCGAAGCGGCGAGCGGGTAGGCGAAAATGATGGCTCTCAAGAATATTGAGAGTCTTGCGAAAGAGGTGAGGCTGGTAAAACCGGTCTGGTTGCTTCGACTTGATGCTATAAAGGTTCAGAGCGTAAGCCTCCGGGATCTGGATGGATGGTCCGGACAAATGTTACTTACTTGTTGAGATCATTCGCTGCTCGCTTCGATAGAACCGTGTTTCCCATATCTACTATATGCTTCAAGATCTTCTGGTTGGTGGGGTCCGGGTCGAGAGTGGCTTCCTTGAACCTCTCTTGAGACGTGCGCTTGGCCTCACGGGTCCTAGAGTGCGACGGAAAGTCGACCTATAGTTGCCACTGATCAGCCACTGCACCTCTGTAGATCATCTAGAGGGGATTCCTTACCAGGAAGAGTTTGTTGAAGTCAGTGGGAAGACTGAGGCCTAGCGAGTTCCCCTTGTGATCGAGAGCCGAGTCCCAGCCGAAGTCTCTCAGCACCTTGAGACCATGTCGACTACGTGAAATCAACCCTAGAACAAAGAAAGCCGTCCCTCTCATCGTGAGAACCTCCGCACTTTCTGCGATCTTCACAATATGCTGAACGATATCTGACTCCAGAAACGGCGCACCCAGTTCCATCGAGCCGACGTTACCCACTGCCCACAAACAGCCCTTGACCTTAAGAAGAGCCTCCGTGTCTTCTTCATCCAGCTGAAAATCGCGAATTGTCCAAGCAAACTCATTGAAATGGCCGGAATGCTCTAGAAGCTTGCATCCTTCAGCGGTTCGGGCGAGCTCTCGATAGAAATGGGGCGGCACTAGCCCAATGTCTTGAAGATCAACCAGATCTTCAGGGACAAAGCTACTCCTTCGTGGCTGGTCAACATAGGCACGCGAGAGGGCTGCTTCAACAAGGCCCACATAAGCATCGTTCCGACCCAGAAACCAATCATCCATTTCCTGGGTAATGTAATCCAACCCATCGAGATAATGGTAGCCCACTGATGTGGACAAGAATCGTAGGAGCAATGGCGCCCCAATTTCACCTAAATGGTCTAGGGATGGCCGACACTTCACCACATATTCGAGATAGTGACGTTGATTGCATGCCTCCTCGAGGATTTTCACAGCCACTTGACAAACAGACACGTCGGGATCGTAAAGCTGGGTAACGAGAAGCTTGACCACCCAGTCCGCATTGTTACCAGCAGATGGTAAAGCGGGGAGAGAAACATTTCCAACAGCGTACTTTCGTAGGAGTCGAGTCGCGAAGATGCGAATCTCCTTAGAACTGGTGGTTAGTGCTTTGGACAGAATGACCCTGAGGTGACTTTCCTGGGTGTAGTCCATATTCCCAAGAAGAGTTTGAATCAGATCATCTCGATCTCGCAGCTCAACGATATGGTAGAACATATTTAGCATATGCCATCGTTCCATCATAGCCAACCCATTTGCGTCACTACTCAACGTTCCTAGTATAGCAAAGTACCCTCCGCTCAACGTGCTAGCCATCTGTTCTTTCGAGAACAAGGGAGAAGACGATGTGAGCCCACTCATGCGATCGACTTGAGCAAGACACTCAGCGACCTGCCTCAAGAATTTGTTCTCGGCCAGATATCTCGTCCCTTCCGGGAGTTGTACGAGTGTGCGCATTAGTGCACAGCCTGTACGAACATAACGCTGGTTTGGCTTCGTGTTTGGTAACATAGAGAATCTGTACTTGAAAGGTCGATAGAACCCGATCAGTCGCTTCATGAACTTCGAGCCTTTGATAGCTTCTTCCAGCCGCTTGGGGTTGGTCAAAGGCCCCTCGACAATGCGGTGAATCAGGTCCCACTTCCATTTCAGGTAGTTGACGGTGTTCAAAACATGCGTCTCCAGAATAGCGTTGCGGAACTGCGTCTCGTCCATAGATGGGCTTAACTTCTCCTTGCCTTGGTCACCAGAGAGAAGAGAAGCGGAAATATCCACTTCGACATTGTAACGTCCCGCGCCGTTTGGAACGCTACGAGCCAATGTTCTATTGATGCTGTCTATTTGATAAATTGTCGAAGTGGAGATGTCATGATTTTCAACATCATATTTGATGGCCGCTGGCAGGAGATGGGGCAGAACTTGCAGCTTCGCACTGATATGCTGAGGCAATGAATGATGTGCCAGTTTCAATACTTCGGTAAGAAGTAGTGTAGCCTTGCGCCTGAGTGACAGGTCTGTCTCGTCCTCAATGAGATCCGAAAGTGCCTAAATCCGTATCAGCATCGGTTGAAATTTCAAGAGAATGGCCTTAATAACCTTCGACAACCCGGCCTCGACAAGGGTGGCAAGAATCAATGTTGAGAAATGCGCCGTCAAATCGAATCGATTACCATCATCGTTATAGAATGCTTGAATATGTTTCGTGTCCGATTCTGTTCTGAGGTTGGCCACTCGCCCATAAGTTGTGAGCCTTCGTCCAGCCAGGAAAGATGATGACCATGATGGTGGCTTGATTCTTAATGCGTCAAACAAAAGCTCCATGATCAAATCTCTTGCCTGCGGGTCCGGGTAATGTAATGAGTCGAGTAGCGACTGCAAAGGTTTGGCTCCGTTTCTTGCAAGTATAATCAAGCCCGGCCATGTCTTCAGCATTGCCGAGATAGCTCTAGCTGAAGACTTCAAGCGCCCATTACGGACCGAGTCCGACAAGGAGTCAGTAAACGGTGCAAGAACAGCCTCTAACTCACATCCTCCTCGTAGATGCTTCCTGCTGTAGGGGGTATCGAGAACATGGAGGAAACTCGCCACGAGACTTTCTGAGGCGCCAAACGTTCCTTCTGCTAAGGCGTCGTGAAGGGTAGCAAATCCACCGGAATATGCGATCAATTCAGGATCCTTAACCAGAATCTCAGCTAGAGTCATGATGGAGATGTTCCGAAGACGATCCTCGTAGTGCTCTGCGACTGACACAATGGTCCTGACTACGGCGCGTGAAATCTCACGCACACCGTCCTTGACGTCCAAGAAGGCCCTAACGAACTTCAAAGCTTGCTCCCGCTCAATGCTCGCCTTGCTTTCCTTGACTAGGGACAGAATCACCAGCTCATCTGTATGGAACGATCGGATAATCTGGAGGGATTTCCGGTCCGCGATAGCGTAGCGTGTCAATCGGTACCCAGCCGCGACTGCTTCTTTATTGTCGCTGAGAAGCATGATTTGCACGCGCAAACCGAACACAGACCACTCGAGGTCGTACTTTAAGGTCGGGTGTCTCTTAAACAGCTCCACGAGACTGTTTGCACGTTCAACGTAATAATCCGGGGGCATGCCTTCAATTTCCAAGGCTTGTAGTGTTTCTGCAAGGACATATGTGGGTGACTCCATTTCCGCCTCGCCCTCTTGAATTTGGGCTTCCTCGATCGTCGGGTTGTTGCGAGTAGGTGAACGCATCGAGCTGCTTTGAAAGAGGGTCGATAGGCGACTTCGAGGTGGGGTAGACGGCGCCTGCGCACGTAGCATCTCCTCCTCGAGTTCATGATGAAGCTCTGCAAGCTTGCGGTTCGATGAACTCAGCTCCGACTCCACTCTTAATCTCTGGTCTTTCGTGTGTTTCGGATTCTTCGCGAGTAGCGCTTCCAGCATGTTCTCGGTTCCCGTCTTGATTTTCATCTCCTTCGCGATCTTGTCTCGAATCACAGCCTGTCGCTCCTCCGTAGTCGGCATATCATCCTGATCGATAAAGCTGCTCGGTCGACGATTCAGCGCTCCGTCCGGACGTGGTGTGGTGCTTCGCGATGACTTCATGCTCTTCAATTCAGAGCTAAAGCTTCCAGGGGCTCCGACCGAGGTGGTCAACGAGCCCCCCCGGACGCCAATGGTCGCACTGCCCCCAGATTCAGAGCGAGCATTTCTTCCGGGTCTCGTGGCGGGCTCGGCCCAGCTACCGTCCGCGGAGCCATCCTCCAGACTAGAGTATGAAGGCCCATCACCCAGAGCACGATGCTGGACTGATGTCGCGGAGAATCCTGAGTTATATCCGGACGCCATAGAGCTCCATCTAGCCGCGAGATGGGAGTGACTATCACCTGTCGGGACTTAGATAAGGAATGAAGCGCTGCATTGAGTTTGCAAAGAGTCCACGAGCGCTACCGAAACAACCAGATATCGAGGGTGAAGAAGGAGGAAAGGCTCTGGTAATGGTCCACTGGGGCTGACGGCGGGCACTTTAGAAGGGAGGGGAGAGGGGAGACGGGTTCGCGGCGGTCACGCTGGGGGGCAGCGACGATTGGCGTGTCAAGAGCGGTTTATGGGACCCTGGTTATGTAGCACAAGACAACGGATGATAGACTCAAGATACTAGTCCCAGAAAACAAGTTGTCTGCTTCATTGACCGGGGTTTCTCTCAAATCCGACTGTTGGTGGTTTCAGCCTGGATTCATCCTATGGCTTGGCCAGCGCCCGTTGGCTGACTAATCCAGCCTTATCGCCTCAGGCCAACACATCCCGTAACTACCGGGCCTTCAACAACACGCAGTTCGTAGTAACTGAACGAGGGGTAGTTATTCGGTTTGTTCATTGTTTCTTTTTTTTTTGTTTTCCTTTCCTTTCCTTCTTTCTTTTTCTTTTTTTGCTTTCTTTTCTCTTTGGTTCCAGATCCATGACACCACTACAGTCATCATAGCTTGTACCATCTTGCAAAACTCCCACATTTTGGTGAATCACCGGTTCATCATTTACTGTGAAAGCATACTCATGAGGCATCGTGTATGGCTGATTCGTTCCAACAAAATATGTACATAGGGTTGAATCCCGTAGGATTCCGAAGACCACAAAAAATAGAAAAATAAGTTGAGAGAAAGAAGAAGTTGTTACATCGATACAACATCATAGTACATGAAAAGAGAGACTGGGGAATTAGTATATTCCAAGATGCTGTGGGACAAACGCCGGATATGCAAGACCTAACGGGAATGTACGCTTGGTAGTACAAAATGGCTGATGGGCTGATAAGGATCGTGATAATAGCCGGTGTAACCATCATATAACTATGATTCCCACGACTGCTTCCGCGGCGCATCGGCGGTATCGTGTGGTACTTGGACCAGTGTGCTATCACTGCTGTTGTCCATTTTGGCCAAGGTTCCTTTGCTTTCAACAAACTTTGACGTCATGTTGCTAGCGGCAAGACGCCTGTTCTTGCGCCTACGCCAGGCGATGACAGCGATATAGATCAAAAACATTGCCCCACAGATGATACCATAAGCGAGTGGCGACGCGGGTGGTATATCAGGATTTTTCGTGGCCGCATAATGGAAGCCAATTCCTCCATTGATGATTCCGAGGGCCGCGAGAAAGCGGCCAAGGTACCGGTGCGAGACTCCATAAAGTGATGATGTGCCAGTCTTGCGGAAATGCAGGTGTTGCATGATTCCCAGAATCGGTTGTATGATGACGACTCCGCCAACGGCCACATATCCGATAATTGGATGATAGCCACCAAGCTCTTGGAGGTCCTTTGAAACAGAAACCCCGACACCAAACCCGGCCAGAGCCAAAAGCACGGCAAAGGCCTGCAAAGGGGCATGGATCCATGTCACGGTGCGGCGCGAAGGAACAATGTATAGGAGGAGGGCAAAATTAGGAAATAGGAGAACGAAGGCAACGGAGGTCATTACGCCGTGCGCAATTCGCTTTTTGTGAAGAATGGTATCGCTGACCTGCTGCGGGTTGGAGTAGGGTGAAGGATGGGATGAGAGGCGCAATGGAACATAGTACGGACTGGAGAAATTGCTACCGGCATTTTTTTCCAAGTCCAATGTAAAAGAACCATGCCAGTCGTGTTGGTACAGCATCTCCGAAACATTGCTAGACGCCAGCGGGGGCCCATAAGTCAATGCCCAAGACCACGAGCTGGACTTGCCAACAGCGCTCTTGCCGTTAGCCAAAGTCGTGCAATTATCACAGCGAATGTTCGCTGTCATGATTCCGTCGTATATACCGGATCCTTCCTCGAGGTACGCCTGGATACCGGAATCGTACTGAGGTTGGACATGACCGGTTGCTCTCCTCGTAGAGAGCGTGACATTGTTATCTGGTGCAGAGTAGATAATGAAGAGGTTTCCATCTGTCATTTGCGACCCTTGGCCCAATGCGAACCATTTGACGCCAGGCGGGGCTCTGAGCCGGAGGTAGATAGGGCCTGACCCTGTGGACGATGTGTTCTGAGGCACGTCAATGCTGTATGACACATCTTCATAGTCGTAGGACCTCTGATCGTGATGGATGACCCTGCTGAAACATGTGCGTGCTGGAAAGCTGCGAGTCAGCCGGGGAGTAAGTATTGCACATAGAAGAAAGCCTTACCTAGTCCCAGCGCACTCACGGCAGCGGTAAGGAATGAAGACGGTTTCATAATGATGGTAGTGACGACGGAACCAGGCCGTCTACAAATTGAATATCAAGGAAGGCAGCAGAAGAAATCTAGCGTAATTGTGGTCGAAAAGAATGAAGGCAGAAGACTTCAGGTCGTTCGGTATAATAGTTATAATCGAATATAAATGATGGTTTAAAATGGTTTTGAGGTCAAGGAGTGTTGCTGCTGGAGATCTCGAAGAATAGGCGTGGTTTTCTCTTGATGACGGAAGTGTCTTGGAGTATGTTAGGGCTGGGATCTTTGCTGCTGGAATCTTGGTGTTCGGAAGTATATTGAGGCAAAAAGCATCACTGCACAAAAATGTCAGTCAGTAACGACCGACAGCCAAATGGGATTTCTTCTACTGCTGCATGACATGGCGAGAGAGCAGAGCATGGTCCGCGCGATGTTCTCGCGTTGAGCATAGCGAGAGAGTGAAAACAGTGATGACAGAAATAGAGAGATCTGGAATTGAACAATTCCTTGAACAAGAAGACAAGAGGAGTAGTCATACTTGAAAGACTCGGATAATAGAATCGCATATAGTTGTCATAAGCCACATAGTGTTGCCACAAATGCCATGCGACAGATCCGTCTGCATGACAATCTCAACGAGTTGAACGATGACGATCACACTACCATGCGGGCGAACACCACTTCAGATGGCCGGATAAAAACTGACCAGGAAAGGAGAGACTTGCAATTGAAGAGAGTGACAATCGGGACTACTCATTTACTCAGATCGAGCAACGATAGAAAGCAAACTCGAGCCCACGAAAGGAGAGAAGATCGTCAATCAGAATGGGAGATTGTCAGATAGATATGCCCGGCAAGCGGGTACCTTTAGTTTTTTCCAGATTGACAATCATGGCGAAAATCCTCGGGCTTTTTCAGATTTAAGTTCCCCGGGGCTGCCACGCCTCTTTGGGACCTGGGTATCTTGCCTGGTACGTACTCCTACGTAGTGTGGGCATTTTTTTAGGCGTGGAATGGCCACATGGTCTGTGCTTCATGAGTTTGTCTGCATACAGGATGAGAGAGGTCACTGCAATGCCTGGAATCATACTAGCAGGTATTGGCGAATCCAAGGTAGCTTATTGTGTTCAACACTCGAGTTAAGATTACTCCTCCTTCTTAGGCAGTAGACGGTCTTAGCCCTGTCTAGGTCATAGAGGCCTGGAAAGACTGTACAGGATTCGGGCTGGGCATTATTTCTGTTATTTTTATTATCATTGTTATTATTCAATTGTGCAGCATCCATGATTTTCAACCGTCGGGATGGGGCATACCAGATACTAGGTAGCACCTATCATTGGGTCGGAGAACGGCAGGTGATCAATCAGACCGCAGAATTGTGGGCGGGACTCAATTGGACTCTTTTTTTGTTCTCCAATTGACTCTTCCTCTCTCCCCCATTTCAAGGTTCCGTGTACGTATTTCCTTCCCTTTCCTCCGCCGGCACCGTCTTTTCCACCTCCATCCCGACTACGGAGTACTTCTGCACTGGTACTACCTCCGTTCTGAGGCATCAACACGTTCGTTCGCATCCTTTCCCAGCAGTAGCTGCCCAGCTCCGTTCTAGACGTTTCATATAAGTCCTTGACAGCCTCCATTATTCCCTATGGCCTGACCACCATGTTGCTCGTTGCTTTGGAGGAAAGAGCCGGCAAACGGCTACGTCCCGTATATCCATCCATGTGGAGAAGTGAAGAACTGGGTTCAATTCAGCAGTAAACTTCGGGTCCCCTTTCAGTGTTCACTCTCTCCCACCCCCCACCTCCCTGCGGGACGCCTCTCTCCCCTCTTTCTAGTCTCCAGACCTAAATCCTCCTCCCCGGGATCAACATGGCTTTCCCCTAAATCATCGTGTCATTCCTTTCCGCCACTTCACACAAACTGAGTTCTTACCTACGCACTAGTTCAGAAAGCTGGGAGCCCAGAGACGCAGAGAGACGTCCGACTTGCTCCGCTTATTGTTCCTGGCGCCAATCATGGACCCTGTTCGCCCTGAAAAGCTGGGTGGCTACCTGCTCGTACTCGGATGGTCAGTCCTGGAGTGCCGTCACTGCCAATCAGCATCGGCCTCCCGTAGCTAAGACCAAGTTATCGGATCTCGGGAACAAGTCGTATTTTCACCGATCCAGGGCGATTCTTCTCGCCGCGGGCTCCTCTACGCACAGCAAATCGCAGCCAGTGGTGGGCCACCGGAAGCTCGGAACCAAATGATGGGAAAGGAGGAAACTTTTTTTTTCTTTCCCTCTCGTTTACCCAGGTCCATAATGGCCTTTTCCACGGTCACGGTCGACGGGCTCGAATTATTGTTGCAAACTCCCAAGACGGTGGTTTTGCCGTTCCTGACATAGGGGAGTAGTCAAACCACGCAACCTTGGGTGGTAATGAGTTAGGCTTTCACCCGTGCGATTCCCTTCCGCATCGCAAAAGGGGTTCGTTCGTCCATTGCCCATACGAAAGGAGAAAGTCAAACTTTATTTATGCGATCCTAATGCTATGGTACCCTTACACTATACTAAATGCATACACCAGGTCTCGCATTCTCTTGCTCTATCCCTCGATTCAAAGTTGGCACGAGTAGCTTGACGTTTTGAGGGTCAAGGCAGGTTATGTACGACTCTGCACTTCAACACCCACTCATACAGAATGACACTGTCCACTCCGGAGTAAGTATCTCGCTAGACCACAGCATGATGTACACATGTGGGAATCAGATTATGCGTAGCCCTTGTTTCAGGAAAAAGCAAGACCACTTAGCTGCGGAGTCCGGCGTGCAGCCCCTTTGTTTTGAGCCTGTCATTGCTTTGATTAAGTGGTCTCGCTTGGAAGCATCAATCCAATGACAGAGGGGTCTTCCATCATAGCATCATCAATCATCAATCCGCGTCCGAGTCAGTTGTTATTCTTAGCCAGCCTCCTCCCCAAAAAGGAAAAAAAAGGGGGAAAAAAATAAATAAAGAGAGGGTAAGAGAAGGAGGACGGGATGCTCCATAAAAATTCTGCCATGCAAATTGGCACTGCAGCCACTGCTAGTTTACGGAGCAGCAGCCCATGTGATAAAACCCGCTAGAATCGACCGACGACATCATCTGCTGATGACTAAAAATACTGTCATTGCATTCTCTTTTGAGGCTTGGAGGGTTTGGAAGCTCAGAAGCTGTGGTTTCAGAGTTCTGTTCTTTTATTTCTCTCTCTCTCTCTCTCTCTCCCTTTTGCCAGCAGCATGCTATGCCGTCACATTGACTGGTCGTTTCTGGGCATTGGGCTGGGCAGAGGACTGTTCACCCTCTCGCTCTCTTTCCAGCCGAGTCCGACCTCTTGGAGATGACTTCGATCAGGCTGGTTTGTTTCTACCAGTCACATCCGCCATCAAACACGGCTGAGCCTGGAAATCCTTCCGCTCCTTTCCCGTCCCCTTCGTTTGTCCCGCATTATGCTGCTCCGTTCCAAAAGTCCCCGTAACCTCGTATCATTCTTAAAGTTCCCAATTATCAGCATACTCCACTTTTCGGTGGCGTAGGGGACGGAGAGGGAGGGGATGCGAAAGGCAGACGGATACTTTATCCTGCGCTTGGATCTTTTGTGGAATGTCAAAAAAGCGCCCCCCCAGTACCGAATGTCCAGTCCTACCACAACCAAGTCCTTTGTTTGATTCTCCATCGCGGTCAGTGCCCGGGGTCAGCATGGAAGTTGAATGAATCTGGGCAATTGTCAATCGGATCGTCTTGCGACCGATTGGTTGGATTGAAGCGGATTGAGCTGCAATATATGGTTTCCATGCAGGGGTGTAAGCAAGCCATTTTGACTGTAGAGCATACCATAGTATCAGCATCAATTGAATTGAACACTGTAGACGATCCAAGAGACTGGAATAAAGGGCCTCCTGCCAGATATGGCCTGACACCGGCCCTCGGTATACATTCTTACCCGACCTTCGTTGTCGACGGTACTCCGTACCTCGAACAGGTCAATCGTCCGGAGTGCTCTCATACTCCTAACCAGACCAGCATCATCAACTCCCCTATTACCCCCGCCAATACACAGACACGATAACAGTCAACAATCAAAGAGATGACAGAATACCCCTTGAAGCGTCTGTCCACCCTAACAAGCCTACCGCCGTCAAGGCTTACCGTACTAAGGCGCCACAATGCCATCAATAACCTTAAGCAGTATGTCGGAGCATTTATTCCCCCCCCCCTATGTCCATTGGCACTTTGACACGCTATTGCCATGTGAATATCAAATCATGTGCAGTAGATCGATTAATCGACTAGTCGAGGTACGGTACGACCCGACAGCCTCCTTTGCTAGAGCCTAGCAGCCTAGCAATCACTTAACTACGGAGGGGTTCGAGCTGCTAGTCCAGATACTGATAGACTAGCTGTGCTAGGCAGGAAGAAGCAGCAAATCCAGCTCTCAGCTTAGCCTAAATCGCCAGTGGCCCAGTGGACCTACTCTGCACTCACTCCCCCACCACAGCCATGAAACGACGAAGCGCACCTATGCGAATTGCCTGAAAGGGATAAAGCTCAGCCGATCAAATAGATTGCATCCCCAAAGAAACTAAACCCCGTGCGCAAGCGAACCCCTGGACCGACCTGACTTGTGTGAGTGTGCGAGGAGAGCAATGCATCATTGACGACGTTTCAATCCTCGAAAAGCACCTCGACATCCCCCCATCATCAGATATTATTAAGATCAAACAAACAAAAAAGAACACTTACCCGCTAGTGCCACAAATGCACATACACAAACACATACCCATACCCACCACATGGTCTCGAAACCTGCCACCCCATTCAGTTCTGATTATTATACTACATTGATTTCTCTGTCTTCAAGAAAAATGCTAATAACAGCATTGCATAACTACAGTACCAGAGGGGCCCTCGCTTTGGCACTCTCCGTCTCCATACGGAGCTTCGTATTTCTCTTGTGGCTGGGTCCTCGCGGCACGCGGATATTTCCAAACGCGCTACCCGACGTCCCGCCAAGTTCCTGTGGCTTGACCTTTCCTTTAGTCTGGTTTTTTTTTTTTTTGGCTTATTATGTGGTTGTTTTAGGGAAAAGCTGTCATGGTTTCTCATTCTGATACAATTTTCCCCGGGGGAAGCGGGCTTCTAATTTTAGGCATTTCCGGGGGTGGTCTTTTCCAGGATGGTCTTCATCATTTCGTTGCCTAGCTTGACGGCTTCGGGGAATCGTGGGGCGAAGTACTGCTGGATACGTTCGAAGCGATCGCGGTAGGACTGGAAATCACCGAACGAGACACAGTCGGACCACGCCTAGCGGACGGATCACATGATGTCAGTGGGATATTCTGGAACGAACGCTCGACCGGAAGGCTCGACAAACGATGCATATATGGCCGAGGGGAGAGAACGAGAGGGAGAGTACAGGGATTGACGATGCAAAACTTGCATAAGCCCCGGACAGATGCTGGCCCCGCGGAGATCCGGTCGGTCGAGGGGACGGGGGAGGGGCGAGGGGGAAGTGGCACAGGTCCAAAAAGTCTAAGTACTTACCCGGGCTGCGAAAGTGAATTCCAAGTCGTCGGACCGGAACGTCTTGTCATCGATGGCGGTGTCGAGAGCCTCGTCGAGGAGTTCGGGGCTGCGAAACAGGTACTCTGTGACTCCTAGCCAGAGACGGAAGAGCTATTTGGATTGTGAAGACACGAAAGTGTGAGTGAGACTGGAAGAGAGGAGGGGGCAATATACTAGACCTCCGCGTGCGCAACGCGGCGGAAAATTCCCGGGGAAGACAGGGGTGGGGGTTCCTACAGGTGTTGAGCAGATCATATGGTCATAAGGCACGATTCCGAGTTTGGACCAGCAGTCGACGATGGCAAGCAAACTGAGGTGATTGTTGGGCGGCGTCTTCTCGCGCGGACCATTCGACAAAGAGAAGCGATCAAGCACCTCGTCCTTCAGCAGCAGCTCTTGACTCTCGGTCCCCGCCTTGAAAACGGCCTCGCCTGCAGCCTTGACGCGCTGTTTGAGCTCTTCGCGACGGCCCTCGATCATGAGCTTATAGAGTTCGGTCACCGATTCGGCATACTGGCGGATCTGCTTCTTCGCCGCCGGGTTGAGAATGGCGAGTCCCGCGTACACGTGCCACTTGTTGGAGTAAATGCGCAGGGTGATGTTGATCTTGACGTTCTCGATGCCGCCGACCCAGCGGGAAAATTCCCAGGGGAACTGATTGTTTGCTTGCCAAGCCGTGCCCATGCTCAGAAAGGCGGCGTGTGTAACCGCCTGCGTGTCGGCGGTGATCCGGTCATGCATCTCTCCCGTTAGATAGACGTATTCGGAGCCGAAGCATGATAGGACTTCTTCGACGAATCTGAGGCTCTCATCGGACGCACGGTGTTGGATCAGGACCTATAGGAAGCAAGGTATGTTACTAGGGGTGTGCGTCCACATTGCGACGATCCTTGTCACCATCATCGAAGGTATCAATCAAGCAAGCAAGCATACCAGTGGTTGGCCCTTGGGGTTGACCTTGGGCCCATGGAGCGAATGGCAGGATACAATTTCTACATCCGGGGGAAGATGTTTATCGAATGCAGCAAGCTCCGGGGCCTTGCAGGACGTTTGACCTCCAACGATTGCGCCGACCTTGGTGGCTTTCCAGGAGTCAGACAACGTTTGTCGAGTAGTAGTAGAAGGGAAAACAATGCTGGGGCGCTGCGGTTCGGCTTCACAGACATACATGGGCCATACTCAGCGACTACCTTGTCAATGACACCGGCCTCTACGCTGTAAATGATGTAATCGCTAATCCTAGAAACCAGGTGTCCATTCGGGTATACGGTAACACCTTGCTTTCTCAAGATGAGTTTATGGACAGCACTGGCTGCGAGTAAACATAGACGTACTTGGGATTCAAATTCTTTTTTCAAGTCCTCATACAAATCGAGTTTGTCACATGCATTAATCCTTTATTGGGAGAAAGATATCTAGTTAGTACAACAGATGTTGTGTGCTATCGAAAGTATAAAGAAAGTGTACAAAAAATTAATAACCTGGAAGCAAGACAGTCAGCGTGAAATCCAACAGCGAATGGCTGAGAATAAGACGGAGCAAGGTTGTGTTGCGAATTTCAGACAAAGAAATAAAGGTAGCTGAGATGTTACATCATGGACGACCCAGTGCGTAGCAGATATATCAGAATGATATAAACGCCGGACACCGAGCCATACTCGAGCCAAATGCACTCAAGTCATCATTCAAGTGGGGGTTGAGGTATGTGCCAGAGATATGGAAGAGAAATGCTCACCTAGTAAGAGAAACGCTGAGGGGTATCTTGTCGACGCAACGGAAAGAAAAAAAGTCTTCGCGTGTATTACCTCCATCCTGCGGCACTGAGGCGCTGGGCATACATTTTGCCCATATCACCCATTCCGATGATGCCAATACTGGCAGCCTCCTTGGTGAAGCCCATGATGGCAGTGCCTGAAGCGAAAAACAAGATGTGAGAATTGTTATGATTAACAATGAACTCACTAGACTCCCAGCGCAAATAGCCACGGAGTCGCTCGTGCCTATTGATTTGAATTGAAGGTTCACAAGGAAGAGAGAAAGAGTAAGCCAAGTGAAACCCACGGGAGAATTTTAAATAGTGCCGACATCCTCCAACATTCGGGCCGACTGCACCCCGAGGCGCCGCCAATCAACGGCTGTCAAAAACGCCTAAATTGTTTGCGGCCTCAGGCATGCGCTCGCTTGAGCACGGCCTAAGATTAATCTGCAGCCAATCAGAGCTGAGGTGTGGATAGGGCACACACCGTCCGGGTTTTTTCCCTATCCAACTTTCACTACGAGCGGGCGCGTTCGACTTCGACTTCTTTTTTTCTCCTTCTGTCCCATATTCCATCCCACAACCGACAAAAATGGCTCCCAAGAAGACCACCCCTGCCGCCAAGGAGAACGTCACTCTCGGCCCTCTGGCCGGTGATGGTACGAATTGAATTCCCAGCACTGGAGATATTGTTCGCGCAGAGTCAGATGCTAATGTGAATATTGGGGGGTTTTAGGCAAGCTCGTCTTCGGCGTTGCCCGCATCTTCGCCTCTTTCAACGATACCTTCGTTCACGTCACCGATCTTTCGTGAGTCTCTCCGCTTCTCGCTCGCAAATCCCTGGAAACCATCCTTCGACTCGATGCGCTTGCGATTGGGCTGGTGGCTACAAAGAGTCAGGGCAAGGCATGTCGAAGCCGGATGATGGGAACCAAATCCAACGAATTTCGCTTAGACGGGGAATAGCGCAAATCAAAGGCTAACACATCATCATCCTACAGCGGCCGTGAAACCATCTGCCGTGTTACCGGTGGTATGAAGGTCAAGGCCGACCGTGACGAGTCCTCCCCCTACGCCGCCATGTTGGCCGCCCAGGACGTCGCCGCCCGCTGCAAGGAGCTCGGCATCAACGCCCTCCACATCAAGATCCGCGCCACCGGTGGTAACGGCACCAAGACCCCCGGCCCTGGTGCTCAGTCCGCCCTCCGCGCCCTGGCCCGTTCCGGCATGCGCATCGGCCGCATCGAGGACGTCACCCCCACCCCCTCCGACTCTACTCGTCGCAAGGGTGGTCGCCGTGGTCGTCGTCTGTAAGCGTGTGCGAGTCACGGGTCTTCTCCGACTGGTGCAGAGGCTTTTCCCCTCTGCTTGCGTCTGGGGGGCCTTGCTCGGCGCCGCTTGCTCGGCTGTGAATTGGATGGAATAAACGCGAAGAACGGCTTTTTTTTGCGCCTGGTCTTCAATTTATTACATACCTAAAAGTGTGTTTAGCGGTTCTGGAATTCGCCTTTAGCTACTAGTCTGGTGTCATCTCGACGGCTCCTCTGGTCAATATAAAGTGGAACTTGGACTGCACTCTTCTTTTGTCCGTTACACGTAGGAAGTAATATCAATGTAATCATGTTTTTCGGTCCTGCAAAGAAGCCAATCCGCTATCTGCTTGCGATCACTGAGTTCAGGAAGTAAATATTCTAGCAAAATGCTTAACGGTGGTCGGTCCACCCAGCCGCTAAGATAAGCGCAACTTATCGCGCGGTCAGCGTATCGCGAATCTCCCAACTTGATCGGCGCATGTTCCAAGCCTTGTCCTTCTCGAATATACAACTCAACCAGCTCCCCCCCCAAAAAAACTCTTCTTGGTCAGACTATCACGAGAGGGATTAGGAGAGAGTCCACGCACTGTACTGATTCAGCCTGCCTGTCCCCCGCCTAACGCTCAAACTTGACGTCAATCCAACAAAGTGCGCGTGGGCACGCGACCCCTCCCAAAAACTTCACTTCTCTATCCTCTACAAGCCCACCAGCTCTCGCCGAATTCCCTTCCCCACCCAATCCAGTCAATAAACCTCCTACAACCATCTCCAACATCCCCAGATAATCTCCCTCAAGCGAATCGCTTACCAACCCCCACCCGCGAAAAACAAGAAACACTACACAATGACCACGGCATCCCCCACCATCCTCCTCCCCCACCTTCCCCCAAAGACCCTCGTCGGCATCGACCTGCTCACCTTTACCTCGACCGCCAACTTCCACGGCATCCGCGACCTTCCCTCGGGGTGGCACTTCCTCTACACCGGCACGACTGAAAGTCTCTCCCTCCGCAGCGGAAGCTGGTTCTACGTTGGGGCCCTCGCCGCCGCCGCGGCTGATACGAATCCCGGCGCACTCGTCTCTTTTCAGGCACAACAACAACAACAACGACAACCAAATGGTCAAGACATCATCGTTTGGAAATGGGATACGGAGAGTGAAACCCTCGCGCCGTTGAGCGCCGAGAGCGATGCCGATCGGCAGGAGGCGATGCGGCAGAAGGCGAATCTGGGGGCGGTCTATCGGCGCGGCGGGTTGTTTCGGTATCGGAGTCGGGTGACGGGGGCGATGTTGGCGATGCAGCAACAGAAGCTGCAGCGGGTGGTGCGGTTTGAAGAAGATGAGGTAGACGGGGAGGAGGAGGATGAGGAGGAGCAGGATGGGAGGAGGGATTGGCTAGGTTTGACGGATAGGATTACGGCCGGGTTGTTGGATCGGATCGTCGGGGTTCCTGTTGTGGATGTGGATGGGAGGGCTAGGTGGATGGTTACCTCGGCGAGTTCCGCGCTGAGGGATAGTGATGCTATTCCTGGGTTGACGGTGGAGGCAGAAGAAGAAGGCGGGGAGCAGAGGTTGGATGAGGGTGCGATTGAGAGGGTTACCGGGGAGAAGGAAAGGGAGTTCTCGTTTGTTCCGATCGATCTGAAGAGGACGTGGAGGGAGGGTGCGATTGGGAGGGAAAGGACCGAGGCCGCCCAGGATCGTTCATGGGCTTTGGGGGACTTGATTGACAGGGTTTCATCGGGGTCAGGGGCCCAGGATGCTGGGAGTGATCGGGAGAGGGAGAGGGTTGGGGAAGGCCAGTTGCTCGGCGAGCTGCAGTTCTCTTTCTTGATGATCCTGACTCTGATGAATTACTCGTGTCTGCAGCAGTGGAAGCGCTTGCTGGAGCTAGTTCTCACCTGTCGAAGTGCGATCCGTGAGCGGGAGGCGTTCATGAGCGATCTGCTCCGCTTGCTCTTGCTGCAGCTGCGTCGCTGTGACGATGTAGAGGGGGGGTTGTTTGACCTCGATGGAGAAGAAGGCGGCGCGTTCTTGCGGAAGCTGCTGATGAAGTTCCGGAAGTCGCTCTATGAGGTTCTCGAAGGCACAGACTCCCAGGTGAAGACAGAGTTCGAAAAACTCGAAGCTTTCGTCAAAGAAGAGTATGATTGGGAGCTCAATCGCGACGTCATTCTTCGACGAGGTATGGTTCAACTGGAGGATGGTGAGCAGGTTGAGCTGGAGGTGGAGGGTGACAATGAAGAAGAGGAGCTTGGAGAATACGCGCCTATGGTTGTGGACCTTGGAGAGGGTACTGGAATGGACGATAGCGATTCTAGTGAGAACCTGAATTAGCAGCTGGGGCTGTTGGATGGTCCATGGCCAATGTAAATCCAGTGGATAGCATGTACTGTATACATCCTACCACGGGAGATGTATTCGATAATGAATAGTTGACACGAGGTTATGAAACAGAAAGTCGAATCGAAGGGTTCTGAACTACAAGAGGACTCAACTATGCCGATGAACCTCGCATATTATAAAAAAAAAAAAAAGAAAGAAAAAAAAAAAAAAACCGAGGCAGTCAGAGTCATAAAACATTGGAAATTCGTCTCTAGGATCTAGCTCTATATCAGAAGCAGAACACAGCACTATGTACAGTCCACCACCTTTTTAGGCACGCAGCCCAACCCCGCCTCCACACAGACCTCACGTGGCAATCCTTCTCTGCATGACCAACATTCCAGGACCTTGCCATAACCGGAATTCTCCGCCTAGTTCTCAATCTCATCTTCAATGACAAAGCCCCACTTGTGGTTTTCCTGGCCATCCTTGCCAAACATGATGGCCTCCAGCCACGACTTGATCTGAGCGGCGTAGCCTGCGCGCTCGGCGCCAGCAGTCAGCAGGTCGATGTCGACGTTGCCGTTGCGAATGAGCTTGACAGGGGTGATGAAGAACTGGTCCCAATGTTAGTGACGTTGCTTAACTCAAAACGTACTGGGATCGCTCCCCATGAATACTTACCGCAGTACCAGAGACGAAAGACTCGACAATGCGCCCCTCCTTCCAGGCCTCCTCGATGTCGCCAATCGTGAACTCCCGCTCCACGACCTCGACGGGCGCAAGCTTGCCGCAGGGCTGAGCGAAGTGTGTCCGAGCCAGCTCCAGAACACTACGACGGGTGACACCGGGCAGGATCAACTGGCTATCCAGAGGCGCAGTGATCAACTCCCGCTTGCCAGTCTCCTTGTTGTCCCAGACGATAAAGAAGTTACTGGCGCCGGCCTCGGTAACCTTGCGGTCCTCGCCGAACAGCCAGAGCACCTGGTCGAATCCGAGCGCCTGCGCCCGGCCGTGCGCGGCCAGCGACGGTCCATAGTTGGCGCCCAGCTTGGCATATCCGAAACCACCGGGCCAGGCGCGGATCGTGTCGGGCTGGGAGGCCAGGAGCTTCAGACCGTGAGGGGCACCCTCCTCTTGCTTCTTCTTCGAAGGGTCGGGCCAGGGGACCGCGATGATGAACAGAAGAGCTTCCTTGGGGGTTTGTACGCCCAGCTGGGTACCGTTTCCGATCACCGTGGGGCGGAGGTAGAGGAAGCGACCGGGTTGATCCTTGGGGAGCCAGCCTGCAGCAAGAGAGAAAGAACTTTGTGTCAGCGGAGTGCTATGCATAAATTGATCGTCGGGCAGGGGGTACGGTAGGGGATATTCATACGTGGTCCATCGATCTGCATCAATTTCGCAATGAGGTGCTTCAATTCAGCGAATCTGAAGCCAGGGAGGGAGGCCCTCTTGGAGCTACCGTCCAAGCGCTCTCCATTGAGATCGGGTCGGAACAGGCGCAACTTGCCATCCTGGCCGCGGTATACTTTCATGCCCTCGAAACATTCGGTGGCGTAGTGCAGGCACGAAGCAGTGGGGGGAATGCTCAGGTTGGCGAAGGGCTTCACTTCAGGCGTATCCCAGCCATTGCTCGCCGTCCACCGGACAGTAACCATATGGTCGGTGCAGTGGGAATGGCTCAATTCCTCCGGCGATCCGGGGAGAGGCACATCGCGGAGATTGGTCGAACGAGTCACCTTGATGTACGAGGCATCAAGCTCGGCAAGAGTAGGCGCAGCAGAACCCATGATCACTTGAGTTTTTGGTCGGAAAGGATAATGTGCGGAGAAGACTGGATCTGGAGGCAACGCTCTGGGGGAGGGAGTAATGTCCGATTGATACTGAAATATGAACCCGCAGAAAGTTGGTGAGTCACCACAGAGATACTTTTCAAACTGAACCAGCGGGAACGGGATTCGGGGACGCGGGCTACAGCTTGGGCCAAGATCCAAAATCGGTCGTTGAGTGGAAGAAACAGGGCGAACGGAGGAAGGTTGAAGGAGAGAGTACTAGATACACTCTTTCTACAGTACGTCGAATGCGTCTACTCTTATGAACTTCTACGCCAGACCGGAGGCAACGAAAACTTTTCGGCGAGCCGAGTCTTCCTTTGGTCTGGGACGTTTTTTCGCCTTCGATATCCGAATTCGCAACAACCATTGGGTCCATCTATGGGTTGAGAGACGGTTCAATCGGCACCCTGAGCAACAGGATTTCGTGCCCGCGATAGGTTAGCATCGGTTAACGTCTCCGCAAATGGTGCTATTGTCTCTCTGAAACGGCGTTCTGTCCTTCCAAGTGATTCTGAAGATGGGCCCTGGAGGATTCATTGTCCCGCATCGATTGTGCCCGCTCCGCCATCGGTGCCCCTCGACAGCCGCCCAGACCGAGGATAACCGCAGGCGGTGTGCACTGCAGTACAGAGTAGTCAGAACTTATCTAAGCAAACCTGCGAAGGATGGCCGAAGGCTCACCGCCAAGAGCTGGGTGAGATAGGTCTGGCAGAAAGAAACGGACGGTTGTAACTCGAACTCGAACAGTGTGCGGAGTAGGTGCACCCGGACTCCGTACCGCGACCCTCTTTTCCAAACAAGCTTAGGCTTTGCAAGGTACCAGGTTACCAAGGCAGACCAGCAAATCGCGGGGGACAAGCCCATATTCCAAATGCTTAATACTGTGTACTGTGTACTGTGTAGAAGCTAATGCAGAGATCAATGTGTGGCCAACCCTTGCGTGTGTTCCCTGGGAACCAGACCGACATTCCAACTGGAACATACACCTGTCTCCTTCGATCGATCACGATCAGGCTTATCATTGGAGAACGAAAGAAGTCCAGAGAAAAAGAAAAAAAACAAGATAGCAAACAAGCGAGAAGCCACTGCAATTTCACACGTACCCATCTGAAGCAAACAGTGGGACAACATTGATTAGTATTTAGTAGAGCACTAACTTGATTCATGATCAATAAAACGTGGAGTCTAACCTGAGTCAGAACTAGTTGCTACAGCAGCCGATCCTTAATCGCCTTCATATATGTACTCCGTACTGTACAGGACAACAACTGTTTATACCCAGAACAGATTCTGAAATACAATGTACAGTGCGTCAGTGAACGATCTTATCTTGAGCAGATGGCTGCTTGCTGCTCGTATAAGAAAAAAAAAAAAAGTCTCCCAATAAGCATGCATAGCTGTCTCAGATCGATCAATCGATCAGTGACCGCTACCAAGATTCCAATAAGTAACCAAACCCAATGTTTGGTTCCATGCGGGGGTTTAGGAAGGGGGGGGATGTGATGCAAGATGCATATCGAGCTATCCACGCTAAGCGCTTGTCGGCTATGCTTCCTGTACAGCCGTGGTCCATAATTGATGCCCCTTTCATGCAGTAGTTTGGCTCTTAGGCAGGGTGATCTCACTGATCGTCCTGGCCCTTTCTTCGCATGAGGGTTGTGTGCTTCATGATTCGCTGTCTGATACCCAAGACACCCAACTCGTACAGATGATGTTTAGGAACGGGGGAAAGAGTATATCAACAGCCACCAACTTACCGTACTTACTCAGCAGGCTGGTCTAACCAAAGCCATGCAATGTCGGAGATGTATTCCCGCATATCCCCCCCAAAAAGAGGACTACAATCGAGGAAACACCAGCGTCAACCAAGGGAGGAAGGACCTCGGATTCACACCCATGGTACATAGAGCAATTTGCCGCTTCACCCTGGCCTGAAAACCATCGGCTGGTACCAAGTTTCGTTTGGCACATGAGACTCAAAGGGTATGCGCGCCCTGGGGCGGCTGGTCCTTCCGAGTGCCAGCAAGTCACCGCCTTCCGATTATAAGCATTCAGCCCTGCAGAATTAAGACTATTTACTGTGATAGGCAGGCGGAGGAGTGACTCGGGCGCTGGCTAAGGCCCGCTCGGACCACCTCAAAGAGAGCAAGCAATATTCGGCGTATTAATTATGGATCATGGATCATGGATCTTTGTCCACCCCCCGGCATTCAGTGTTCATTACATACCGAGTAACTGAGTAACTTATATACCTATCCTCTCTAGCCTGCGTTCGACTAACTTGCCTATTGCCTTACCTTACCTAGAGACTTCAAACAAGGAAGAAAAAAGTTCCCATTTATGACGCCACGAGTTGGCCGTTCAAGCTTACCGCAACGAGCAAGGCTCAATTACCACTACTTACCAATTGTCCACAACCAAGTCCCGAGTTTCCAGATGCCCCTTATTGGCAGTCGGACATATGATCGCCGCCATGAGGCCAAGACGATCGCGCCCACCAGGTCAGGTGGTTGACTAGAGGCGAGTCTGGCTTTTCTGGCAGAGACCGGCCCCAGGTCCCATGAATTCCGGTCTTCCATCATCGACTTGGAAAGTAAGTCCGATGGTGTTTGCCATGGTACTGCGTACAGTAAGACAGCCGTGAGCCGTGAACCGTGAGCCGGTAGTACTCCGTAAATGGCTGAAACCGAAGTAGTACAGGGCACCTTTGGATAAGTTTAAAAAAGACCCTGAGGCAGACAACCCGAACATTAGCCGCTAGAATCCAGGTAAACCGGATCCCGCCCCATTTTGTGTTGGGTGATGTGAGCAATTTTCAAAGCTTGTCGCTTGTTTGTGCTATGATCTAAAGAAGCCGCGGACCACTCAGCCACTTCGCCACATGGCATATGACGTTCACTGGAGTCCAGGAGTCCAGGTTTGTCGCCGCACAAGGCCGGAGTATCAGAGTACCAAGGGGGCTGCGAGCAAGTCCAGCTTGTCACTCACATGCAACGCATCCTAGGCCCTTGCTAGGCCACATCAGGCATGGGTGCCAGACTTCAACCTCTGGACCCTTTTCCCTGTCATGTACCTACCACTAATCACAGACCTGATACAGCGCTCATGTAAAGTCTGGCCCATCCGCCCTGAGGATGAGTATACCTGATAGGTTTCAAATGAAACGATCTAAATCCAAGGCCACCACTAGTCCTTTCGGAGAACTTTTCCACCTGTGATATTGAGTCTTGAGGTGATGAGGCGCGAATGGCGTGGATCTGCTCCATGCCCGGGTGGCTCTTCTTTGACTTCCTGCGGATCCCTTCTCTCCACATCTCCTTACCTGCTCTTTCTTTCGCCCGACCTCTAAAATTGCAGATTTATGATAATTCTCTCGTGTAGAAGAGTTGCGATCCTTGCACTAGTCAGTGAGTGCTACCGGTGCATGTCTTTGTTAACCTTTTGTTACCCTTAGGTAGAGGTGCAGCCAGCACACATGCAGCATGGAGAGATAACATTGGGCAAGCATTGAACTTCCACCGTTGGCTAACGGCCCGCGGTCGATCGATCAGGTTGTATGCGTACTAGGTAGTACTATGTTGTTTTACGGCGCCCCCATTCGCAGCGCAGCTGCTTCTTGACCATCGGTTTGACGAAGAACGTTGATCGGTGATTCAATATGACATTAGATCCTAACACGCTGCCCCACGAAAGGGGTAGATGTAGTAGTTAGTGGTGCAAAGCGACGTAGATAGACTCATTGAGGTTCGGGGAAAAGCCCGGGGATCAAGAGGCCGACGCGCCTGTCTGCGCCGTAAAAAGACTTGTCTTGATACGTAGCCGATGTGGGAACCTGTCGCGGATCAAACTGGTACCGCGATTGCGAAGCTAATGCTTCCAGGTCCCTTTGGGCTCTCAGAGAAATCCGTGGAGATGCTTGATTTCTTCCACCCAGGCTGTCTCCGTTGCTGATTACTGGCTCTGCAACTCTTTCGTTTTCTCCCTCCCTCGCTTGTCATTCGTCTCTCTGGCAGTTTCCCAGTCTTGCGCTTTTGGAGCCAGCAGCCTACTCCTCGTAATCTACCCGTCGCCCAAAACTGCTTCCTACTAAGGCGAGCTCCGTGCTTGTCATCTTTCTTGCTCTACTCCGCCTTCAGTCCTTCGCTCTGTGCCCGAGCTTGATGTTGAAAGATCTTAGACAATCCGATCACGTGTAGGCTTTGCTCTTAGTCTGTCCAGCCATCCCAACAACTGTTGGGTACATATTGCATTTCCTTTCCCTTCAACCGCATCGGCGCCTGCTCACCCCGGTGGTTTCCCACATTCTTAACAGCCGTCAATCGTGAGAACCTTCTATTTCGTGGTATTGACAAAACTATGGCCTTTGTTGACATGCCGGAAGCGGGGCGTCTGTTTGGCGACAATTGAATGATCAAGGCTACGCCTTGTTCGCAGGCGTATGACATGAACTTCGACCTGCCTCGTCTGCTAGATTAGGTGAATGTTCAATATTGTGGCGAACTTCCTTTGGGTTCCTTGAGGAGACACGTCCTTAGAAGCGTGTCCATGTGCCCAACTGCTTTGGCGCTGACCATAATCGTGATCGACCTGAATTCCAGCCTTAGGGATTAGATAGACTTTCTAAGCTCTCAACCACCCCGCCTCCGTCGCCGGAAAGGGGCGTGCTGGCTAAGATGAATCATAATCACCTGGGCAGAACTCTGCCTACCCTCGCTCCAGGACCACGCGGCGCGTTTGCGGCCCCGATGACAACAATAGCAAAGTCGAGGAAGAACTCCACTGCTTGCACGTCGTGTAAGGCAGCGAAGAGGAAGGTAATCATCAACGCGACCCTTCCCTCCAGGCACACACATTCTCGCTCATTGTGAGGGTGCTTCCACCTAGATTGTGCCGATCTTTCAACTAACCACGCGGACTAAAGTGTAGTGGACGCCCAGCCCCTTGCAAAGCATGTCAAACCTCCAAAGTTGCATGTATTTTCGATGAATCCCTCGACCTTAGACGCAAAGTCGCCGTGAGACGCACTCAGGGGGAGCTTCAACACTATAAGGGCTTGTTGACCACCTTGTTCAACAAGATTCGCGATGCAGACGAAGCTGATACCCATAAAATCGTGGAAGCCATTCAGTGCAGTGACTTCGAAGATATTACCACGGCATCTGAGAGACTTGAGCTGCCTAGCACGGAGGAGTCCAGCAGTGACTCAAGCTCAGAGGACTCGGAGAGTGAAGAAGCTGAAGAGGCTGAAAAGGCTGAAGAAGCTGAAGAGGCGGAAGAGGCGGAAGATGACAGTGAATCTCCGAAAGAGCTCTCGGACCCCGAGAAAACCATGCGCCTAACGATAGAGAGGCTCTGCGATACTCCTTTGTACCAGGTGCCATCATCTTGGACATATTGCGACGCGGATGACTTTGTTGTTTCGCATCTCGTATCCCTATACTTCACTTGGGATCATCCATTTTCCCAGATCCTTGACCAGGATTTGTTCCTGATCGACATGACGGTGGACCCACAGGCTACATCACAGTTCAAAGCGTTCCAGATGTCTGAAGAGTTCGAGATACCCCCAGAATCTGAGATGTCTCCAGAGATCGAGCCGCCTTCAGAGATCAAGTATTTCGCGAAGGACCAAGGTTCTCCAGATCTCAATGAGGGTTTCTCAAAGATAGAAAGCTCCCCGAACATTGAGAGGTTGCGAGAGTTGCAGTGTTCTCCAGATATCGAAATCTCAGCAGAGGCCAAGCCTGAAGATTCAGATGACGATTCGAAGGCCAAACCGGATTGTCCAAGATCAACCTCGAGCTATCAAGGAGCAATCGAATTAGAATATGGGCTTGAGGTCGACCCGGATTTCTGCACGCCATTTCTCATGAACAGCATTCTAGCAGTCGCAGCAGTAGGTTATTCTCGTTCTTCTTGTTTGCCGATGACTAAATTTTGCCAGACATATTCCGATTACCCAAAAATCTATGCTATCCGAGGCATCGATTCATCACGTGGCCAGGATTTTTTTGAGGAAGCAGAAAGGCTATGGAAGGCAGAGCGGGGCCGGCCTACATTAGCCAATATCCAGGCAGTGACCTTGATGAGCCGTTTGTATGCTGCATAGACTCGCGTTTGCTCTATATGTGCACAGACTGACGACGGAAAGTCTGCAATTTCAGGGCCAACGACAAGCCAGCTGGCTGATGCTAAAACAAGCTTTACAACTCGCCAAAGATATCGGACTGTTCCATTCCCCGAGAAGGCATTGGGGATCACACATGCCGGTCAGGACCCGACATGTCTATGCAGTTGCCGCCTGGGGCCTGTACATAATGAACTCGTAAGAATGTCAATTCCATTTTGCCTCACTTCGCTAAGTCGTGCAGGGAAATGTCATTCGAGCGCGGCAGGGCCCCAGATCTTGAGCCTCCGTGGAGTAACCCTGACACGGCGTGTGATTACGACGAAGGAATCGTGTGGTGTGCATACCCGCGTTTTGAGAAGGATGATTTTCAGGAACTGCCAGCCCAACTCAATGCAACTTTCAACCAGACGGTCCTTCTAGCAAAAATCGCTGTGAGGATTCAGGAATTTTTGTTCAAGGAGTCATGGGACATGACGAAATCTGAAATGGAAGCAACGGCTGATGACTTGATGAATCAATTGCGACTCGTGATAGAAGGCCTACCAGCCTCGGAGGTTGAGCAACGAGAGCTTCCACACGTCCTACTTGTGCAGTAAGAACCCCGGCAGGAATGTCACCCCCTACCTCTCTGACCGTTTATCAAGTATCAAATATCATCACACAGTATTGCTGTTCTTCGAATATCTCTGGGATCACCAGCGTATGGAAGCAACCCCCGAGCAGATCCGTTCATACCGGCTCGAGCCAGCAAAAAAGATTGTCGAGTATCTCGGTGTATTTGAAGATAGATTCGGACTGCGTCGAGTACCAAGACAAATGTTAGAGCCTGCCAATCGCAGTCTTCTTGCTCTGCTGGTTTTCATTGAGGAGGAGGAGTCGTGGGAGCCAATGATTGACCTATGCCGGTTCATGGCGGCGTGCAGCACAAGGTTCGTTCTGGCGGAGCAGATGTGTCTCCAATTCGAACTAATAATCAAAGCCTCTAATGTCGTTTTACCACAAGAAGCGTACGAGGTGCTAAAAGGCAGAGGTGTCAATGCGTCCGACTGGCTGTAAGCCAGCGCCAGCAGGTACTGTCAACGAGATGGGCAGACGCAGAGATTCACCCACAAAACCGGTGAGGCTGGCCGGTTAAGTGGCATCACGCATTGTGACACCACGCTTTATGGCATCAGTTTCGTGCCAACCAGGAAGGATGTCACTGAAGACTCGTCAAGCCCAGGTATGGTTGTGACGAGGTTTCCTGGGTTGTCTTGTGTGCACTCGCAACAGCCACGAGTTGCACCGTGGTGGCATTTCTCTGGAGAACCATAGTGACACGCCACCGCCACTATTGGCAATGGTCTCCCCAATCGAAGTCGAACTCATTCATTGAAGTAACTCATTCATTGAAGTCGTGACGAGGCATTTGCAGTGTTTTATGGAGATAAGAGTAACCACGCTATTGCAGGTCTGCATCAAGGGACTTGAGCGGTGAATGTCGAGGGGAAGAGGGAGATTGCGTGGATAAAGCGAGCACGGAGAAGAATCTTCTGGAGAATAAAGAGGAGTGACTGAAAACTGGAGTGTAGCAGCGAGGAGAAGTTTGAGACCACCAACCCAGGGCTGAGGCCTGACATCTAAGCCGAATGAAGTGTGAACAAATGACAGTAAAGTAGGATAAGTTTTCCGTAGGAGAGACACCCAATAACGAGCTCTGGAGCGACAGTGGCACTAGCAACCTTGGTTGGCGGAAAGCGGAAGGGGCACATGCTCTTGTCCTTCATCTCCACAGACTCGGATTTCCAAGTTTTATACTTGGCTTTAACCGGCCGGAAGATCCTGTCCAGTGGCCGAACTTCCTTCCTGCCCTGCAAGATATGTGTGCGTGTGCCTGTGTACGTGTGGGCGTATGTGTGTGGGGGAGATAATGGACGGGGAGTTCCATCGGTAGATGACCCTTGCTTTTTTTTATTTTATATTTTTTTTGTAGGAGAAAAAGTGAGAGAAACACGAGTCAGGCCGTGGTCGTACCTGCAGGTAGCACTATTTACTACTAGTCACACTGACCTAACTTTTAACATGCCACGTCCATTACATTATTCAATCCGACCTACTGGACCGGCTGGGCCCTGCTGGCAGTCAATTGTTTACGCTATCAATTTTGCTTGACCGAACCAGGTCTGGAGCATCCAATTAGGCAAGCAGTAGAACTTCAAAGTGTAGTTCTTCAAGGAGAATGATAAACGCTGCGGTTATCAGATCCTGGCATCTTGTATCATTCAGGGTTCATCCGTGAATCCCTGTCCTGAAGAATCAGGCTGAGAGGACATTACATCTCCTTTGTTGACCCGTGAGCCATTGTACTGGAGTAACTGTATTAATTCTGCCCCAACATTCCTGGATGAAAGTTAAGGCACTCTCTGCCTAAGGCTCCTTGCCGAGGGTCAACAGGTAGGTTAAACAGAGGACAATACCACCTCGTTTCCAATCCAAGGTTCTTGAGGCGGCCGGTAGAAGTATCCGGTTGTCTTCCCACCCAATCGGAGGCGCGCTTCTCACCTTACGTGCCTCTCCATGCTCCTTCGTCCCTCCATGCCACACCTCATTCCGATTATACCCATGAAACTTATCTTTTTGCTTCTATGTCTCGAATCCTTGCCAACTCAGCCATGGATGGGGGTTCTCTGATCATTCAACTTGTGTTTTTGTGAAAACCAAGAAAAGGCGCCATAAACGGTCCAGGTGTGATCTTGTGCCTGTGTTCAAATAAGCTTCTCACACTTCGAAATCCTTACTTACAGTACACATATTCTCTGCTGTCGCCCACCTATAGATGCTTGGCAAGTTCTTCAGGTAATGATCGAGCTTATGCGAAAGACGGAGTCAGTATTAGAACCCCTTTTGTACTCCTTGATCATGGCAACCAAGAGTATACTGGTTCAAACCACAATACTACAAAGCGATTCTACGTAGTTATATGAGCTACTGGGTGTTCCTGCCGAATGTGAAAGTACGATAGGTCTTCAGGATAAGGTAGGTAGTTGGCAGGTAAGGTACCGGTGCCTCACTATATGTATGTATTCACCAATAGCATATTCAGCATCAACAAATGTGGAGGATTCCGGCTTGTCTAATGCTTCCCAATAAATTGAGCTCAAGTGATCTTTACATGCCTGTCATCAAAGACAATATAAACCACAATCTGTGACTGAAGACCGGCAGTGGCTCTGTAACATCAGAATGGATTATTGTCGAAGGCACGATAACCTATGGCGAGCGGCAGGATCTGATCTGTCGACTGCATAGCTGAGTCAGCGACCTAGCTATGCTCAGATAAGATAAGCACAAATCCGTCCAAGCGAAAACCCTCAAAATTCAACTCCGCCGAAACAATCCAAATCCCACACGCCGACGCCAAGTAGCTACGCCTGACGACGTGCCCCCTCTCCTTCCCCCTCTCCACCCATCTCCGCCTCCCGTCCAACCGGAAATCTTATCATCGTCAACAGTCGCTTTTCTGTTGCAAACATGTCCTACGAAGAGCGCGCCAACCAACACCCCAACTTGGGCGACGAGTCCGATGTTGAGGAGGAGGCCCTTGTCAACGACTACCGCGAGCAGGTCAACTATGATGATGGTATGAGCGAGTTGGATCGGACTACATCTCTTGGAGCTGGCTCGCAGGCGCAGGATCTTCAGGCACAGCTGGCCGCCGCCGCGACCCCGCTTGAATACCAGGCCACGCTGGAGACTAAATTTGCGAGCTACGATAACTACTGCAGCCTTTTCCACTACATCTTGAACTCGGACGGCCCCGTTGAATTGGAGGTTCCTTCGGTATGTTTCTTCTCCCGCCCTGCTCAGATCGTCCTGCGCGTCGAGGTTTCGTTGAAAGCTGTTGTGTGGTCGACGTCGACGTGAACATTTGCACTCTGGACTAAAATCTCCTAACCTTCTCTTTTTACAGTACTACTGGGCCTGGGATGTGATCGACGAGTTTATCTACCAGTTCGAGTCTTTCTGTCGCTACCGCAACCGTGTCGCTCGCAGCGGCTCCAACGAGGAGGAGGCACAACTCCTGCGTGAGAACCCGAACACGTGGGGCTGTTACTCCGTCCTTAACGTTCTTTACTCCCTCATCCAGAGATCGCAAATTAACGAGCAATTGGCTGCCATCAAGCGTGGTGAGGACCCATTGGCCGTCGCCGGAGAATATGGCTCTCGTCCTCTGTACAAGATGCTGGGATACTTCTCCATCATCGGACTTCTGCGTGTCCACTGCTTGCTCGGTGATTTCAGCCTTGCTCTGAAGACTCTTGACGACATCGAGATGAACAAGAAGGCCATGTTCGCCCGTGTTATGGCCGCTCACTTCACGACCTACTACTATGTCGGTTTCTCTTACATGATGATGCGCCGCTATGCCGACGCCATCCGCATGTTCAGCCACATTCTGGTTTACGTCTCCCGCACCAAGAACTTCCAGAAAGGCGGCAACAGCTACGATGCCATCGCCAAGAAGAACGACCAGATGTACGCTCTGATCGCTATTTGCGTTGCCCTCCACCCCACTCGCTTGGATGACACCATTCACTCCGCTCTCCGTGAGAAGTACGGCGAGCAGCTCAACCGCCTGCAGCACGGTGGTCCCGACGCCCTGCCTCTGTTCGAGGAGCTTTTCCGCTCGGCCTGCCCCAAGTTCATCAGCCCCACTCCTCCCGACTTCGAGAACCCTGCCCTCAACGTTGACCCGGTCGACCACCACACTGCCATCTTCATGGATGAGGTCAAGAACACCCTGTACAACCCTACCATCCGTTCCTACCTCAAGCTCTACACGACCATGGACTTGAAGAAGCTGGCTGGCTTCCTGGAGGTGGAGCCTGAGAAGCTCCGCTCTTGGCTGCTGATCAACAAGCAGCGTAGCCGCCAGGTCCGCTGGGTTGAGGGTGGTTTGTTGGAGGGTGAGCCGGCCATCGCCAACGATCTGGACTACGCTCTCGAGAAGGACCTCATTCACGTCAGTGAGACCAAGGCTGGACGCCGCCTTGTGGATTGGTACCTTCGCAACCTCGCTCGTGTCTACTAGATTGACAGCCCAATACGTCGATCACCGTCTCAGACGCAAGAGCTTGAGGCTTGAGATTTCGGAGATGCGATCACTCCGTCTTCATAGCCACATGGGTCGATGGTATTCACGTGGACAACACGGCATTCCCATTGCCGATTGACCGGGCAACTCGACCCTATGCATGCACGAAATCGAGGTCAACAGTGACTTGGTGGCTTAACCTCCCACCTCTACCCCTACCCCACCCCCTCCCCCTTTGCCTACTGATCCTCTCACCTTACCCCGCCACTCAAGTTATGATGCCTTTTATTTCTATCTTCATATTATCCCTCTATGTTGTTTTCTTTCAAATGTCCATGCTTTTTTCTTAGGGTTGGGGCCTTGAAACCGATCAGGTTACGGGGTTGGAGTCGACACAAAAGAAATTTTCGAGGATTTGATTAATTCGCGGCGTATCCCATTATGCTTGTGCTTTGGTTTTTGCTTACTGTTTCGACGACATTGTCCGGTCTGGGCTGTGCATCATGCCTTTTTTTTGTTGCTTGCTTGCACAGTACCCAAAAGAATGCAGCTGGCAGAGCACAAGGCTGTAGTGATTCCATGATGAAATAGATGATGACGTTATTTAATCTTTTCCAATTCTCCATAAATTCTGCGAGTATAAATACCTTTACGCGCCTGGAAGCCCAACAGAAGCGGAGTGGGGTATACTATTTACAATCTATTCAGTTAAGCATAGCTATGGTGTGGTAGTTTGATGCACGCCAACCCCAAGTACGATACATGGGCGAAACAGAGCACGACTGCCTTTCAGAATTAAAGCAGAGGAAGTCCGACAACCATGATCCGCAAGACCCTTAGCGACCCGCTCTCATCGTGGGCCCCCCCTCCCTACTCCAGGACGTCGAAACTCGTTCCGCAGCCACAATTACTCGAAGCTCGCGGGTTGTCGACGATCTTGAACTGACTTCCAATCAACTCCATCGTGTAATCCACCGTACTTCCGTGAAGCAGCTCCAACGAAGGTTCATCCATGACGACTTTGGCCTCGCCGGGTCCGGCAGGAGCGTCCTCCGCTTCGAAGACGGTATCTTCTTCGGGGTCAATCTTCGACGCTGCTTCGAGGGACATCATATATTGGAACCCATGGCAGCCGCCGCTCGTCACGGTGATCCGGAGGTGGTCGTAGGGGTTTTCCTCCTTCGTCGCGGACGGGGAGGAGGTCGGGTCTGTGATCTCACGAAGCCGCTATAATCCGAAGCGTCAGTTTGGAACCTCACGAGTTGATGCAAATAGGCAGAATCGAGGGCAGGACAAGGACGTGGACCATGTTACACAGCGACAGGCCCAAGATATCATAAAATAAAATAGAACCGAAGAAAAAAAAAAAAACATACAACAGCCGGGATTCGCTGGTGGTCACCCACCCAACTACTAACCGGCCGGCGTGTGGCTTGAGTACGGCTGAGCGGACGGGAAGCCCTATTTTCCACACCCTGTGGTCGTATGTGCTGGACAGAGAGTTGGTCATGGTACTTCTTGCGATGGTACCATGTGATCCCCCCTGCTGCCACTGCCATAGCTTGGGTGGTGCAAATAACCGACTCCCGTCCGATTCATGAGTAGCCCAGCTTCCCATCACAACCCAGCATACTGAGATATGAAGATGCCGAAAAGAGAGATAGAACCTACTTCTGCGGCCCGCGGGGATATCTTGATCGTGAGTTCTTTTCCGTCCTCGTCAACTCGGGGGTTTTGTAAGATCTTCGCGCTGGTCCGGATCGCTGACGAGGAGAAAGGGTAGCGCTGGCGGATCGTATTGTTGGAAACCACGGAGTATGGCGGAGTAAGCTTTTGGGACGAGATGTCTCTCGTGGCTTTCGAAAAAGGACGCAAGCTGGACCGGAGGGATGCCGTGTCGCAAAGTGATGCGGCGAAGTTCACCGGAGGCGCGGCCGATGGCGAAAACGTAGAGGTGGATGAGTGAGGGCGCGATAGCCGGCGAACGACGGATGATAGTACCGGACGAGACATGATGATCTTCAAGAGTCTCCAAGATCAAGGAGCTAGTGGATTGGCGGCGATATCGTGGTCACTGACCTCGCTGATTGTCGAGAGGCGTGATTATTATATATATCATCATCCCAAAGATACTGCCGTTAGTCAGTGTGAGCGGCGGGGCGTCATTGGTTAATTGGCTGTCGGCAGATACCGGCAGAATAATCACCGTGCAGTTGCCCGCCTCCTGGCCGATAACCGATCGCGGGGAACTAAACCGAACCGCGAGCCGGATGCCAATCGTGCTCTAAGAGCTAATCCTTGTCCAGATTTGACTACAGAACTTGGTTTGAATTTTCATATTTTTCATAGTCACCAGCTACTGATCGGTTCTGTCTAGTATTGCAAGATTAAGGAGTGGTTCGCAGCATCAAGCACAATGCTTTCCGATCTGCACGCAACGCGCGCAAATGGTGCTCCCCCGCTTTCTAACTTTGCAAGGGAATATGCGCAATCGCTTGATGCGCAGGACCCTCTACGTCACTTCCGACAGGAATTCCTCATCCCCTCGAAAAGTGATCTGAAGAGGAAGACCTTGGCTCTACCCAATGATTGTACGTCAAACGAGCAAGTTTTCCGTTCCATGGATCATAGATTAACCAGAAGCATTGTTCGTTGATATAGATAACGAGGAGGCTGAGGAAAGATCCATCTATCTCTGTGGAAACTCCCTCGGAGTCCAGCCCCGCAATGTTCGCAAGTACATTGACCACTATCTGCGAGCGTGGGCCATTAAGGGTGTGACGGGGCATTTTGTACCGCATGATGACCAGCTGCTTCCACCCTTTGTCGACGTTGACGAGGCGGGATCGAAGTTGATGGCGCCGGTTGTTGGAGCTCACCCTGAAGAGGTTGCCGTAATGGGTACACTGACAGCGAACCTGCACCTGCTGATGGCGAGTTTCTACAAGCCCACTAAGGAGCGATACAAGATCATCATCGAGGGCAAGGCATTTCCAAGTGATCATGTACGTGTCGGATCTTAGGCGGGCCAGAAGAGCAGCCACTGACATGCCAGGAGACAGTATGCCGTTGAGTCTCAGATCAAGCACCACGGTCTTCGCCCAGAAGACGCCATGGTTCTCATCGAGCCACAAGACTCCAAATTTCCCACCTTGTCCACCGAGCAAATTCTTCGTGTCATCGATGAGCACGCCTCGAATACTGCTATAATTCTTCTCTCTGCTATCCAATTCTATACCGGGCAGTATTTCGACATAGAGAAGATCACCGCGTATGCCCAGTCGAAGGGCATCTTGGTTGGCTGGGACTGCGCCCACGCGGCAGGCAACGTGGACCTGCGATTGCATGACTGGAACGTGGACTTTGCTGCATGGTGTACCTATAAGTACCTCAACAGCGGTCCTGGCTGTATGGCGGCCCTTTTTGTCCACGAGAAGCATGGCCAAGTCGACAAGGATAAGATTGGCACGGCAGAGCAACCCTTCCGCCCGCGGTTGTCAGGTTGGTGGGGAGGAGACAAGCAGGCGCGATTTATGATGGAAAACAGTATGACACCCAAAGAAATCTCAAGCTTCAAGCTCTAACTTCACACCCCGGCAGACTTCGTTCCTCAGACAGGTGCCGCAGGTTACCAGCTCTCGAACCCGTCGGTTCTAGATACAAGTGCGCTTGCGGCCTCCCTCGAACTTTTCAACCGGACCTCGATGGCGCAGATCCGTGAGAAGTCCCTGCAAATAACGGCATACTTGGAACAACTCCTCCTGAAGTACCCGCTCGAGTCACTTCCGGAGAGACCGTTCGACATAATCACACCCTCGAACCCAGCAGAGCGGGGTGCTCAACTCAGTCTGCGCTTGGCGCCAGGTCTTCTCGACGGCGTTCTCGAGATCCTGGAAGAGCACGCTGTTGTTATTGATGAACGGAAGCCAGACGTGATTCGAGTGGCGCCTGCGCCTCTGTATAACTCGTACGTTGATGTTTGGGAGTTTTGCCAGGTCTTCCTGAGGGCCTGTCAGCAGGCTTTGGACGCCCGTAAGTGAACATATGACCTGTATATCTGTAAACCGAACAGCAAAACCGCACAACGACCAAATACTTTGATCCTTTTGTCCATGCAATCGCCCGTGGCCCATGGGATCCCTGAGCCAACGTCAATTTCTGGAAAAGTTTCTGGGACAAAGATAATTATATAATGCAAATATACCATCAATCATATTGATAGATATAGATTGGAGCTTCACCGAAGAGTTTAGGCTTTTAGTTTATGTCCTTGACTTCGCATGTATGCACAACTTGTTCAATATGAATTATCTGAGAAAGGGGTGCATTCGTTGTGCCTCTAATACATGGCAGAGAGAAAGTATTCAGAGTCTTAGGAACAGGGCACTAGGCAGTTCTTAGGTTTGCTATATATGGATAAATTTACTATGAATGACCTATTGCGTATAGAAGCGGAACTAACTACTTACCAATAAATCTTTGCCCTTACTAAACAGCCCAACTCTGACTTGTCCCGGCTAAACTTATACTTACTAAAAAGGTAATCAGTTACTTGATCATTACATATAAAAGCGGATCGTACCCAGGCTAATCAGGCTGCAAGATTAAGCATTTCATGCCCGAGTATACCTTTAAGGTCATTGTCCTCGAAGCTCAGATAATTCTGTGAATCAGCGGCCCTGGCGTGGCCATCTCTACTGTACAAAAGTATGGTAATTGCTACACACGTACAACTAGTACGAGTCCAATAAGCGAAGGGCTCCCAGACAACCCGACGGTTCTTTTGCACGAAATAATTGTTTAATATCAACCCTGCGGCCAACTCATACTTTCTGTGCGCCAACATTCTGTACCTAATATAGAACATACACCCTGGGGGATTCATCCAAATGCAAAATAAGCCGGCTCCAACGATTGACGCTCTGACTCCCAAGCTAACCAATCTGATCTCGTAGTCCTATATTGATATCATGTTAGCCATCCATCCAGCTCAGCGGCTGCGCGAGAAGAGAGCCCACTTACGGCAAGAGACCCATCGCGTTGACCTTCCAGATACCCAAGCAAAGCAAGACTAGCTGCATTACTACATAGATGGCCTTTACGCCCAGAAGCTTGCCCCGCGTGCCTTCGGTTTCGAACTTGGAGAAGACAGTGTTGGTATTGATGAGGCCTTGAATCGGGCCCTTGAAGAGCATGAAGACCATCATTATGCTGAAGATTTGGAGACTGTTGCCGGACATGTACATCATAATCGCATTCATGGGGATCTGCTTGGAGGGGGCCAGGGCAATCTCCCAGGCCTTCTTCAGCTTCAGGGTATCGGTATCCTCGGGCTTGGTCGGCGCGGCGGTGGTCGACGACTGTTGCGCAAGCTGCGGACGCAATTACCGGGTTAGTTTGGGGGCCTCAGAGAGTTTAGGGGATATTCACGACAGGACATACATTTTTACCGCCCATTTTCTTCGAATAGCCTGGAGGATCGGGGATCTTGGCAGCCTCTTTGCTTGGGCGCGGCATCGGGGCGTTTAGCCTGACCACCCATTCTGGGGGTGGAGGCGGATTGAGAGGTTGCGCAGCCATCGTACAAGTCTGTTTTATGGACTCAGATATGAGACAATGAGAAGCTGAGCATAAGCAAGCGTAGCGTAGTAGAGGGGTTGATGAGGGGCAACGGTGCGGAAAAAGGCAAGCTGGAACAATGTTGATTGATGATGCTGATGATGATGATGATGATGACAATCCTCCTCCATCCGGACTGGGAATTTCTCCACAAGCGGCGGGCGGAGTTGGCGGCTCCCGATCCACTCCTGATTCTCAATCCAACCCAGACCCTGATCGAGGCTCGTTCCCCTTTTGATCTTGTTAATCTCGACTTGCATTTTTCTCTCGACTGTCAGATCGAACTGGGGGAGATAGTGATCAATTCCCATTAAACCTAGGTTGGACTTCAATCCGCCTCCGCGCTCATTCCTCCGTGCGACGCTGACTCCTCTAGCACCTACCCCTCCCCCTTCTCGAAAGGCCATGGAAGCTGCGGCCAGCTAAAGATCTCCTCCCTCTCGAAGCTAGCATACCGACACGAACCACCGTCGCTATATATGCACATGCGATTTTGAAACACCATCGGCTTCAAACCCTGCGCCAGGCCTGTTTTGAAAAGCACCAAGCCACCGAACCTCGCCCGATTCGTCACCTATAACCCTCCGACGCAATGAGTTCTAGCGGGGGAGATGCGAAGCTGTTCGCAAGGGTATGTATTTGCGCGTGCACTGCTCTTCTGTTTCGTCGGTCGCTTTGAGGCCTTGGCCTGGTGACTTTCCTATAATCCTTCCGCATCTTCCCCTCCTCAATCCTGTCGAATCACACTCGTCGGTGGCTCTCTTCCATACGAACCGAGCACTGTCCTACTCCTGATCTTCTTGCACCTTGGAGCAACCTCTTTTCGGTCACCCATGAACTCCTGTCTCCCTCACACACTTGGATCTCGCTTGTGCTAGAGAAGACTCCTTGCGACCCCATGTTTCTCAGTGTGGTCCCCTATAGTCCGCAGTATGGCTTACCATTTCCTCAATCTAAACAGGGCAAAGTCGCCGAACTGCGCCAGGAGCTGAACAGCGGCGGGAAAAAGGACAAGAACCATTCGGCCAAGAAGATCGCCCTCAAGAAGATTGTCGCAAACATGACGATGAGCAACAACGATATGGTAGCCTTGTTCCCGGATGTGATCGGTTGCATGAACCTGCCCAGTCTGGAAATCAAAAAGATGTATGTCAAGAGGACGAAAAGCGATTGCGGACACACTGGTCGGCGCTGACTTCTCTTCATGGATGCAGGTGCTTCCTGTTCTTGGTCAACTACTCCAGGGCGAAGCCGGATATTGCGCTTAAGGCGTTGCCGATTCTGGTCGATGTATGGATGATGCCCCTCTCTCTTCCCCACCTGGGTGCACTTTGATGTGTTTTCTAACCGAGCGCATAGGATATGGAAGATTCCAACCCGCTCGTGCGTGCTCTGGCTCTACGGACGATCTCGTACGTCCACGTCCGCGAGTTCGTCGAAGCCACAGTTGCACCGGTCAAGCGATTGATGCAGGATATGGATCCCTACGTCCGGAAAACCGCCGCCTTTTGCGTCGCGAAGCTCTACGAGCACGACAAGAAGATGGTCGAGAGCTCAGACCTAATCGATCGGTTGAACAGCATGCTCAAGGACGAGAACCCGACGGTGGTATCCAGCGTCCTTGCCTCCTTGGTGGATATCTGGGGACGGAGTGAATCGATCTCTCTCACCATTGACTACGCTAGCGCCTCGAAGCTGGTTTCGATCCTACCAGACTGCTCTGAGTACTTACTCCTTTACGCGCCGATGAAACTAGTCTTTTGCTAACAAGATCCATAGGTGGGGCCAATCATACATTCTCGAGGCCCTAATGTCCTATGTTCCCCAAGATTCCGCAGAAGCGCTCTTGCTGGCAGAGCGCATTGCTCCCCGCTTGTCGCATTCCAACTCTGCCGTCGTTCTGACTTCGATCCGGGTCATCCTTTACCTCATGAACTATATCGCAGACGAGAGACATGTCACCTCGTTAGCGAAGAAGTTGTCACCGCCCTTAGTCACTCTTCTCTCCAAGCCCCCAGAAGTACAGTATCTGGCTCTACGTAATGCCATCCTAATTCTGCAGAAAAGGCCGGAAGTCCTACGGAACGATATCCGCGTTTTCTTCTGTAACTACAACGATCCGATCTATGTCAAAGTGACGAAGCTAGAATTGATATTCATGCTAACAACGAAAGAAAATATCTCTGTGGTGCTCGCGGAGCTCAGGGAGTAAGTTTGCGTTTCGGGAATTCTGACGATCGCACAGCTAACGATATTCAGGTATGCTACAGAGATCGATGTCCATTTCGTGCGCAAGGCCGTGCGCGCGATTGGCAAATTGGCGATCAAGATCGAGTCGGCGGCACGGCAGTGTATCGACACCCTCCTTGACCTGGTCAACGCAAAGATTCCCTACATCGTCCAGGAAGCGACCGTGGTCATTCGAAACATCTTCCGCAAATACCCAAATCAATACGAGAACATCATCAGCAACGTCATACAGAACATCGACGAGCTCGACGAGCCCGAGGCCAAGGCTGCCATCATCTGGATCATCGGACAATACGCGGACCGCATCGAGAATTCCGATGGCCTTCTCCAGGACTACCTCGCCACCTTTCACGACGAAACTATCGAGGTCCAACTGGCCCTCCTGACCGCAACGGTGAAGTTCTTCATTCAACGCCCAACCAAGGGCCAGCAGCTGGTCCCCCAGGTTCTGAAGTGGTGCACCGAGGAGACGGACGACCCCGACCTCCGCGACCGAGGGTACATGTACTGGCGGCTCCTCTCCACCGACCCCGCGGCCGCCAAACAGGTCGTCATGGGCGAGAAACCGCCGATTAGCGCGGAGAGCGAGAAACTCGACCCGAAGACTCTAGAGGAGCTGTGCTTGAACGTCGGCACGCTGGCCACGGTATATCTGAAGCCCGTCCAGCAGGTCTTCCGCAATGCGCGGACCAGACGGCTGCAGTACAGCCCGGCCCTGCAAAAGCCGCAAGAGGTAGTCAGCAGCGCCGCCGGCTGGCAGATTCCCGCTACGGCGTCACAGGTCGCGGCCAGTAGTCCCACGGCCGCGACGGCCGCCAACCCGACTGGGTTCCCGATGACCGGAGCGGCGGCGGGTGACATGAACGCCGCCGTCAGCGCCGCGGACAACTACTTCAACAGCGTCGGCAGCCAGCAGATGGCCGCGCTCGATCTGGGCGGTCGCGGGGACGGCGGTGCCGGGGGCGGTGGCGCTTCGCAGACACAGTATGTTGTCAACCAGAACCAGCAGCAGGTCTATCAACCCCAGTTGGCTGGTGGTGCGGCGACGGGAGAGCTGTTGCTGCTGTAATGTCCTCTGCCTAGTATTTCATACTATCGCCGCGTCCGTTCTTCTCCAGGATACTGATAGTGACTTCCTTGGTTTTTTTCCCCTTCTTGCATTCATCCCTTGAGCGATGCCAGTTTTTTGATCGCAGGCAGGGACTTGTGATACCTCTTATTATTGACCATTTCTATTATATGTATCATTTTAACTACATTACACACAAACTGTAAAGAAGTCAGGGGACTGGATTCATGGTTTACAATCTTCATCGCATTTCATACGCACTTCCT